ATCATTGTTAGAACCGTCATGCGTTTTGAGAGTAAATAATCGAAATAAATTTAGTTATTACCGTTTTCAATATGAATTATTGGAACTAGTGACGTAGCACCCTCGCTCTGAGTGACTTCCGGGATGAAAATGTGTGTGCATCTTTATCAGGTCGATAGATCGATGATTTGAATTACACATTTTAACAATTATTTGACACTTTTACTACTATCGATGTATTTTGGGGGGGGGGGGGGCTATCATAAATAAAAAAGAGGCGAAAGATACCAAAGGGGTTTTCAAACTCATAAGTCAAAAACAAACTGACAATGCCATGAAAAAAACAACGCAAAAGCAGTACACAAAACACAATAAAGAAAACTAAAGACTGAGCAACACGAATCCCACCAAAAACCGGGGTGATCTTAAGTGACCCAGAAGGGTACATGTAGGTAGGTCCTGATCCACATGTACCACCCGTCGTATTTCTCATGTGAGTACAAACCCGGCCGGTGATAAGTGTAATTCGGTAGGTCACATTCGAGAAAAAGAAGACGGGATTGTAGGTACAAAAACTGGAACAAATCCGTTGATTAATAAATAAACATTTTGGAACAAAATTTTAGAATCGTGTCTTGTCTCCTCTGATATAAATGTATGCTACGGACTTCGGTGTTTTTGGCCTTGGTATCAGTGTATTCTTTATTTCAACGTCGTTTCCGATTCAAGAACGAAATATATATCTTGATGAAATCACCTGCATAAAATTCAAACGAGAAAACTTTTGAACATATAATATTTAAAACGCTTAGAACGTAAAAATTTAAAAACGTATGTTTTATAAATTCAAAAGTTTACTATAAAACAAGTGTACATCGACTTTATTCTAATAGAAATTCCCTGATCTTATCAAACTATTCATAAATGTTCTGCTATTGAATGATTGGCTTCCCGTACTCTAATTATCCGATAGCTTTTGTATGCAGTAATCTTAACGACAAGACCTCTTATTAGTACCTCAGCAACCCCATAGCGCAAGTGCGATGGATGATCTGAGCTAAATGAAAAGGTAAATAAACGTGCACTAGAAGATAGATAGTGTTAATTGATTCTGAAAAAAGATATACAATACATCAAATCATTTACGAACTTTTAGCACATAGTTTAATTTTCAAAACAAAAAGCATACACAATGTATTACAAAAAAAAATCGCTCGATCAACTCACTTCTTTTATTCGTGCTCTATGATTCTTCGTTGATTATTTATCAAGTTCCCGATGATAAACTTCGGCCACAAAACCCGAAACTCGTTTCATATAACTTTAAATGTGATGCAACTTATTTTTGGTTTGTTAATAGAAAGATTGTACCATTCTTTTATGAGGTAGTGCAGCATATCTCGCTTATGTGGAAACGTCGAATTTCTTTAATTGTTATTGTTGTATCTGCCGCTTTCTACACTGATTGCCTATAAATATCCTTCAATAATAGAAAATTAATATGAGAGTTAATCAATAAATGGCCAGCTATTTTGTAAAGCAATTACTCGTTTTTAAATGATTGGACCAGTTGTTTACCTTAGAGACATGTAGTTAATGAATATTACGTTATAAGTGCTAGTCAGAGGCATCAGTTTCACATATATTGAGGTAAGATATCTAAATAATAACTAATTGTTTAACATTTATGACTGAACTAAATTTATATACACCGATTCAGGCTGTTAGAACAAATCACAAAAGGTACAAGAGAAATATAATGTCTAATTTCAATTTGCCGGCATCTTGTTACATTTATATCGATATATTTTAAAAGGCCGACTTTTGAACAATAAGATACTTCTTTTGTTGCACACTATATATAGTCATTTTATTTTAGTATCATATAATGTATGAAAAAAGTAATTATTCTGTTTTGAAATATTTGCAGTGCTCCAAATGTTTTTATTTTTTTCTTGGAAGTATTGGTGACATTGCAATCGACCTATCTCTTTCGACATTTGGTTTATCAGCACAAGAACTAGTTCGTATACTTTTGTGCACTATCATTTTATGTATTTTGATTTGTTTGATTTTCATGTTCCAGTGTATTTCGAACATTGGGAAATCTTTCTGAGCATGTCAGTCATTCTATACAAAAATTTTTAGATTTTACATTGCTAAATTGCAAATGAATCATATGTAATGTGTGGAGTCACCTATGTGAAACACTTGGTTTTCCGATGGGGATATCTGTCGTAGAGTTATCATATATTTAGACGTATTTAATAATGTATATTGATTTCACTGTGTGATCTATAAAAAGGATAAAAGGATTAATAAAAAAAAATTTGATGTAATTATATCCTTTTCAACTGACCAAATCAGCTGATCTGCAAGGTATTCCATGTACGTTACCACCAATCATCTGTGTTCCGATATGAGATTAAGCCGACGAGCGAAGAAAGGCATCACCCGACTAATATCAACTGTTCATTAATATGACCTAGTCGGGCGAGTGGTCATGGACGTTTGAAACAGTGCATGCGGAGCTGCTACAATGCCGAAACGAATGGGCCGCAATTCCGATCTTTACCCGGCTCGAAATTTGAAAGAAATGTTCGGCACAGCCTCGCATTCTTTCTATTTTAGCCTTATATCAATATATTTTATAAGTTTAGACATTATATAGTTATTCTATATTTGTTTGAGCGTTCAGCATATCCACTGACGATAACCGTAACGCGAGACATATACTTAACCTAAAAAAGAAACAGTACATTTTGTAATGTCGGGGGTGTTTTATAGCGTAATGTACGATATGAGTTTTGTTCATTGGTAAAGAATTAACAATGACCTATAGCTGCTTTAATCTGCGTTATGTAGTCTCTGGTGGTTACATGTAGTCGTCTCATTGGCTCATACTACATCTTCTTATTTTTATATCAAAATAGATAAAACAAGTTCATGCAAAATAATCAAATATAAAACATCAGGAAAAGGTAAGAATATTAACGGTACCAATTTTACTTCACCATATGCAACGAGAAAGTTAACAATTATCAGTCTAACATTAAACTGAATTGCGTACAAATCAATAATGAAATAATCCAGGCATGTCTCAATAAAATGAAAACAAAATAATTAAATTTGTTATTTGCATTTTGGGGTCAAAATATTCCGTTACAAGATCATGGATTATTGTCACAATATTTCTATAAGAAATTATTTAAATGTACACTTCAGTTATTTACCTTGTTCTTCTGTCAAGTTGTTTAAATGCATTTTGTCTGATTGTTATATCTTTCTTCTTTCTACTTCGTCTTTGTCTTCACGCACTAACGTTGTGTCATGTTTCTGGTGTTATTGCTTGATATGTAGTATTTAATGACAATTATTTAATACTGAATTCCATTCTTACAAATTTTTTAATAAACTATAAAATATGAAGTGTCAAAAGTTATCACTTCAATGATTTTTAATATTTCAACCCTTAAACATTTCGATTCATGATCATGTATATAGTCTCCAAATGTTTTGATATCATCATTCTCAGAAACACGTGTCTTTCGCAAGTAGTCTGACATAACAACCGAATAACGAAAATCTCGAGTCCAATTAATAATCATAAGGAACAAGGTTTCATCGACAGTTGTTTGTTCTGTTACATTTGTAAATTGTTAAAAGAAATGCACGCGCTTTAATGAGAATTGGCTCAAATGTTGCAAATAGTGTGAAAAAGTCTATAAGGTGTCACTTAAGGTATTTTATACTGCTATCTGTCAATTACGTAAAATACCAACAGTTCTTAGCCTCCAGTTCAACATGTTCAAAACATTAATCTTTTTTATTTTCAGTTTTCTGTTATATTCTTTTAGTGATTTTGTAATTTGTTTGACGATAGCGTTCTCTTGTTGTTTTAAATTTGACTTTTCTGTTGTTTGAATGCTGGTTGGGTATTTTCTTTTTGTTTAACGACAAATTTAATTTAAGTACCGAAATTTGAAAAAATCAAAACCTTCCTGGTAATTTGGTAATTTTTTTTTATTATTATTATCAGTATTTTCATTAAAACATATTAAATGTTTACCTAATATCGAATAGTGGACTTGTTTTTCTGTCTCATTTTGCTTTCATAACAATATGTTACATGTACTGCTTACTTTTACTACATAGGCATTGATTGTCAATTTTCATATCTTTGGAAATATATTCCTGTATCTCTCTTGTTCTATCTGTTTCTAATACCCGAATAAATATTATCAGAATCTTTTGATAAGGTTGGTTCCTTACATTTGCCATGTACTTTAACATTTACTTGAGATTCTTTCGTTTGGATTGTTATAAAAAAATTATTTTTAAAGGGTGATATATTCAATGTTTTACAGCACAGGGTTGATACCGCTACTGTTTGACTATCAGTACTACGGCATTGACATGATATATTAAAAACCTTTTGAAAATTATCGTTTATAAATTTAGGAGATTTCAACTCCCTCCGGCAAAGTTAACCTTGAATGGATTTGACTATTATTTTTAAGTTCATTGTGGTTATATAGCTCTGCAACTTTTTCGGTCCTTTTACATCCTTGGCTTTCAAATATTTGGCTTTGAGTGTTCCTGAGGAAGATTAATCTAATAAAAGCGCCTCGGACACATACAATTTATAAAGATATTTTTTTTATTATTTTATGATAGACCAAGGTTTTGATTATACTAAAATTAAAGATTGATGACCGATTGAACTATGCAAATGAATAATCTAAGATTGAGATTTGGCACACAACAATTTGTGGCACTCAGATGTTTCCCTAGGAAATATAAATTTAAATGTACTAAAATACGCCATCGCAGGCAACCGGTATAGATTGGGGTTTACTTTCAAAAAAGTAATTACTGAAATGTTTTAATGTTGGCTTCTAGTATGGTTCCCTGATTTCATGTACTTGACAAAAAAGAAATTACATTTAGCTTCAGGTTTGTTACATGTCCAAACATTTATCTAAAGAAATGTTTACATCGGGATTATTACAGGAATATGACATCTGCACCAAGCCACAGAAACATATCTGCACTTACATCAGAAGAAATAAACTACCTACGATTATCGAATTTGATACTTAGAGTGGCTCCACAAGCTGTAAAAAAAGTTTGACAAAGAGTTGGATCCTGCAGTATTACAGAAAACACTCTATCAGAACAAATTGAAAGTGATAGAGCCACTGAAAAACAAGAGATATATCAGTAAAGTTCAGTGGGATTTACTCTTTCCAATTTCAGGTAAAGGAAAACAATTAATAACGAAAATCCTTTTGAAAACTATTACGGAAACAAGTCGTTATAAGCCAATACATTTCATATTTAACGCAATCAAGTGGAAAACATTTTTTCACAAAATTCTAATTTTATTAGAATCACCGGTATACTAACTACTTACTAGCTTTACTATAAACAGAGTTTAGTGATACACTTGTACAGCTCTATTTGAAATATAGCATGTGGTTGCTTAATTTTTAACAAATAAGGATTTCATTGTTTGCTGATAATATCAAACCTAATGCGATCCGATTCTTCTCATGATAATTATCTTTAGCGTTTTAGCTATTATGCGAACGATTGCATCTAGCAGTCTAGTAGCAGTGGTATTGATGCATTGTCCGTTAAATTGTAATGAATCTTATGTTTTGTCATGCTTATTGCACATTTCAAAATTTACCTTCAATAGATCATCCTAGAAACGGTAACCACAAATGGATAAAAAAAAACACAGTTCCAAAACAACAACCAAAGACATGTAAAGTTACATTGCATGAGGCAGTTGAAACCTTGAACTTTAAAACCCTTACAAAAAATGAAAATTTTATAAAAATATATACCATACTAATGGCTCATTATTGGTCGTATATTTTCAAAATTACATAAATCATTTGCTACATGTTCTTTGTCAGATAATGCAGATGCGACAAATAAAATGTATAACGGAGTTAAAGATGTTAAAGGGCATCGTGATTTCTTTTTATAACTATTTTTATATTTAATCAAAATATTCAAGTACTTCAAGTCACTAAACAAGATCACGTGTCTGCCGTCAACAGTAATTATATATTCACTCAATACATTAAAAAAAATAAGGCCAGTGAGAGAGATAATAAATATCAAATGCATATGATCCTTTCTTTGTTTGCATCATATATATAGTTGCATAAGTAAATTATGAGTTACAGAACAAATTGCTATCTTTTTCCGATTATTTCTCATATTGTATTTTAGATTTTGTTTATTGTACTTCTATATTTCCAGGTATTGATCTTTTAAATATAAGCATTTAGTTTCATAATCATAACTGACAGACCGAAACAGTGTTCGTGTCCGTAGACCAATTGGAAACACAGTAGTGTCTATTGGACACAAATATTCTCTTGTTAAATTTTTTGTCGTTTTTACATTAAAGTCATATGAAACAAGTTTCTTGTAATTTTAATGTTATCGAAATTATTGAACCAATGCAAGAATATATATACTAAACTAGGTCCTGTGTGCACGTTTTTTATATTTATTACGAATCTATAACGTATTATTGACAAATAATATTTCATACAGTGGTTGTTGATCGATAGCTAATTAACTTTCGAGTTTGTTGCCGAAGTTTACCGGATCGTGACATTGATAAACGAGCACAGAGCATGTGACAAATAAGTGATTTAAACGTTACACCCCAGTTCTATTGTTATACTTCATAGTTTCTATTTCTGAAACAAGTGTAAATTGAATAGATCTATTGTTACGAATAACAATGGATTTTGACCACAGGGTGTGACGAGCGGGGTTTCTGGAAACCCCTGCTTCTACATCCCGCAAACAAAGCCCATTGTTATTCGTAACAATAGAAATTGATTATGAACATAAGAAATTTCTTATAGTATTCACTACAAATTGTTTCATGATATTAAAAAAACACATTTTAGGAAATTCCAATAAGCATCTATATGGAATACAAAGATAATCCTTTAAATACTTTTTTGCTTGAAGGTAATTTTTTTTATCCCAGTCATAAGTCTCTATTCTAAAGCATTGATCCTTTAAAAAAAAAATTGGGATTCTAACTCCCGGACCCCCATCCCCCGGTTACCCAGTGGCCGATCCGGGGTTGGGGGTTCCGCGGGTTTTTTATTCAAAAGATCAATGCATTTAAATGGTTGGAACCCCCCCCCCTTTTTTCTCGAGTTGGGAACCCCCGGCTGGATCAGCCCCTGATTGCCCTCAAAAAAGGGAGTTCCTCAATTTTAAATATTGTATGTTGAGCGTGTCTTGTAGTCGGGTTTCTAATGCAGACACACCTTTTCCTTAGTATGTTCGAATATGAATGTTTGTTTATTATCGAGATGAGGGAGGGTGGGCTTTTGTTTTTGATAAAATCGTAAGATATAAAATACAGTTATGATTACCTTTATCAGACTGATACTTTGGGTAATAACATTGCCTTTATCTTTAGTCTCTTCTACCAAATCCGACGCTTGCCACAAAATGTCGTCCGTCTTATACCCGTCCATATTGACAACTGTATACCAGGAGCATGATGTATTTTTTTGTTTGTAATAAGAATACACGAAACAGTCAACCTTGACCTGCTGATCCATATTAGCACAGGATTTAACGGGAATATGCAAAACAACTTGACATTTGAAAAATATACTCACTTGTCAAAGTTTGAACGAAGATAGCCAAAGAAAGGTTACTAGTGGGGTTTCATGTAACAAAAAATATTCTTATAAATCATGGTTTGATATTATCAATAAATATGCTATCGTTTTTGTTTTTTTTTCATTTAATAATCAATGTTAACAAATATAGGGTTTATAATGGGGTGTAAGTTAGTTTTACAACTCGGGATACGGTGTGTCTGGATAAGAAACCCCTCCGGCCGACGGCCGACGGGGTTTCTTATCCAGACACACCTATCCCTCGGTGTATAACTATTACAGCATTTTATATTTTCCATGGCTTCCCATTTCCTAATTGAACTTTTCCTTTTCCTTAACAGTTGTTAAATGATTTTGTTTATAAAATTTGTTTTTTTAGAGTCAGTTATTACTATTTACCTTCTAGCTAGTGCACGTTTGTTTACATTTTGTCATTACGGTTTACCCATTGCACGTCCGTTGTGCGATGGCCGAAGTTTAAACGAGAGGTCTCGTAGTTAAGGTCACTGCATACGGGAAAATATCGGCGAATTAGTGTACGGGAAGACAATAATTCAATAGCAGTCCATTTATGAAAATTTTGATAGCGTAAAGGATTTTCTTTAACAAGAAAGTTTGCATACACTTGTTTTATAGTATACTTAGCCGTTCAAGTATATAAAACATATTCAACTTTTTTTTAAATTTGAAGTTTCATATGATTTTAATAACCCTGATTCAAAATATCTAGTTTAAAAATGACAAAGTACATATACATTTAAACAAGACCTGTGCAACTGGCGAAGCAAGAACTACTTTTCTTTCCTTGACAGCTGCGTTCAATAATATATTAAGTTAAATAATATTGCAGGGTCGGCATGTTCAACAGCATTCGATTTGACTTAAATGGTTTGTCTAATAAGAAATCTGACAACAATGGCAATAGGAGATGCATTACCAGTCGCTTCAGATACAAGTCCAGGGGCTGATTTATCCAGGCTAAAACATTACAGGAACAAGATAGTTCACTGTGAAGTTGGTATACTATCAGACAAAGAGTTTGAAGAGTGCTGGACCGAAATATGTCAGGTATTATAAAGTTATCTGATTAAATGAAATGTTATAAATTGCATATAAATGATAAACAAAGCATATGAAACGTTTAAGCCACTGATCAGTTTTTGTAGACGAAACGCGCGTCTGTCGTACAACATTTCAAGCCTGTTATCTAAGATGAGAATTTTTACAACCATTGGGTCGATGCCACTGCTGGTAGAGGTTTCCTCCCCGAGTGTATCACAAGCCGAGTAGTCAGTACTTCTGTGTTGACATGAATTATCATTGAAATGGTATATATCATAAATTAACTTTTTACAAAAGTTAAAATTTAGTTTTTTTCGAAATACGAAGGATTTTCTTCCCGAGAAAAAGATTACCTCAGCTGTATTTGGCAAAACCTTTCGGAATTATGGGTCCTCAATACTCTTCAGCTTCGTACTTTAATTAGACTTTTTAAATTTTTTTATTGAAGCGTCACTGATGAGTCTTTTGTAGACGAAGCGCTCGTCTGGCGTACAGAATTTTTAGCCTTGTATCTGTGATGAGTGTATTTTCAATAGTATGGTGCATAATAAAAACGGGCCAAACTTTTATTTCGCAACAGATATACATAGCAAATGAATAACATATGATTAGGATATGTAATTCGGTAGCAAAAGATGAAAAGGATTAGTTATTTTGTCCAATTTAAACTTTCACGTTCATTTTTAACCTCAATATATATGTATTACATTTTAAATATTATATAGATATAAAGGGTACATTTCCTGGGTAAGATTCTTTTATGAAATGCCTATAAATGAACATGGACAAAAGCCATTGCCCCATGGATATTAAGATGAATAAGTATTTATTATTGACATTTTTACTTTTGCATGATGTACCATGAAACAGCCATACTCAAGGCGTTTGTGAAATATATAATGAAGGGTATGACACCGGAAGTGACTTTTTATTAACCAAAAGTGTTAAATTAATTTTAAAAACACTTATAGAAACTTATAAATGTTTGAATCAATGTCAAGATTGGTAAGTAATAACTCAAAAAGGGGCTCTCTAAAAACCAGAATTTATATTTTCCTGAATTACTGTTAAAACGTTACGCCCACATGTATTCAAAAAAGTGTGATCTTGAACATTTTCTTTCCTTTTTTGTTATTCATTTTATCCTATTCTTCAAAGTAAATGTACTGTTTAACTGTATATTTTTTTTCAAGAATGAACTGTAGACTGAATTTATTTTACATTATAATTTAACTTACTAACTCTAAACCCATTCAAGTATCTATCTTTTGCGCGATTTTCTCTTTAACCGTCATAACCAGAGGACAATTGACGATATCGCGTATGACATATATAAGATGAAAGCCGTGTTATTGACAATGGATGTCAAAAACGAGTCCAAATAAGGTTGTTGGTTTATTGACATGTTTATTATTCTTCCCTTAGTTCATTTATTTTGTATTTACATTGTATCATAGGTCAAATTTATTTGTTCAGTGTATGTTCATTGGTATTTATATGTCCGTTGATTGAGTTAAGCTATTTCAGTTGATATTTTATAGTGTGTCTTTCTATGTTGTGATGTTACACTACTGTTTCAGAAAAAGGGTGAAGGTTTGGTACCATTAAAACGTTTAAACCCGCTGCAATTGTTTGCACCTGTCCTAAGTCAGGAATCTGATGTTCAGTAGTTGTCGTTTGTTGATGTGGTTCATAAGTGTTTCTCGTTTCTCGTTTATTATATAGATTAGACCGTTGGTTTTCCCGTTTGAATGGTTTTACACTAGTAATTGTTGAGACCCTTTATAGCTTGCTGTTCGGTGTGAGCCAAGGCTCCGTGTTGAAGACCGTACTTTGACCTATAATGGTATACTTTTATAAATTTTGACTTGGATGGAGAGTTGTCTCATTGGCACTCATACCACATCTTCTTATATCTATGTACCAATAATTGCTGTTATTAAATAGACTATATACAAAGCAAAGTATGTCAAGTTTATTAAGATTATAAACTTTCATTTCATGTGTTACTTGCTTTATTGTGGATATCAACTAATCACTCTTTGCATATAAGTATAACCACTTAAAAATAACAATCTGAATCATGATAAAAATTCCACTATTAAAAATGAAGTAAGGACTTCCATCTAAAACCACATACAATAATGAATTAAAAACAATGGAACATAATATTGTTCTCAACGCTGACATTAGTAAAATATGTTGAAATATCATACTATCTGAAAAGTCTGTTGATTTGCATTGTCTCTATTCTTTTTTAATATGAAATAAGATATTAAGCATAAAAGTATATACTCTGAACGACAGCAGAATTACATGTTAGTATGACCTTGAATTTATTCATCTAGAACCAAATACGAAGCGTGCAATCAAAGTCTAATAAAAATAGACAACACCATGGCCAAAAACAAAAACTTCGAAAAGACAAACAACATTCTATAAAACACTACATAGACAACAAAAGATTATGTGTGTTATTAGTTTCTACTTCACTAGTTTCATCCGTCACGTTACTCATTGTAAAATTCGGTGATGTAGAATTCAATTATGTCAATATTTTGGAAAAGAATTTTAATGAAGAATTATCGCACTTGAGCGGCAATATAAGTAAACTTAGAGTTTCAGATCATTTTCATCAACAATAACTTTATTAACATCTTTCTTCTTTTACAAGGCAATAATAAGATTAGGTGGTACAAGCTTTGAGCAAAGATGCTCTGATTTGAAGGTCAGCAGAATGAACGATAGTGATAAAGAAATATTGAAAGAACTAAGAAATCAAGAGAGATCCAGTGATCCTGTTCCAAAAGGTGTAAGAAGTAAGTGTTTTGTGTAGTAAGTTTATAGAGCAAATGCTGCACATCGGGCTTATCCATTAAATTATTATTGTTTCGCATAATAAACTGTAGTTGCACTACTAGTAGGAAGTACATACAGGCAAAAGAAAATATTTTTTACACTGATGTTTGCATTGTCCTTATGTATAACTTATCAATTTTTATTTAAGATAGCCAGCAATGAAAAATGAGAAAAAGTTTCATTTACCATGTTTTATTAAAATAAAAGTTTCCTCATACGCTTTGTGGGGTCTAAATTAGCTTTTGAATTGATCAGTTGTACTACACATTTATCTTTTCTTGATATTTAAAAAGTAAAATAACAACAAAAACGAACTCCAAGGAAAATTCAAAACGAAAAGCCCTTTATCATATGGCAAAATCAAAAGCTCAAACACATTCAACGAATAGAAAACAATTTTCATATTCTAGACTTGGTACAGGCATTTACCTATGTAGCAAATGATGAATTTAACCTGGTTTTATAGACGGCATCAAACTAAAATAGTATATAACAACCATAATATTTTCAGCTTTCCCATTGACATATTTCCATTTCTCGCAGTAATTTACTCTCCGTTCCCTCGATTGGCATTAACATATCTCTATTTCTACTTTTCGCTATTGCACGAATATATTATTTTTACTAGTAGGATTTCCTACTAACACTACAGCTGTTCTAACAGTTTTATGAAGAAGAACGACTGAAATTGATACTACAAAATTTTACGGTCACCATGATAAATTAGTAGACCGATACAATGTGTCTGTGTCTCAAATTGCTCATGACATGTTTTCGCCGTCCTAGATCTTTAGATGTGAGAATAGTGGTCTAATCTGTACTTTTACAATTTCGTGACATTTTTATACTGGTGATAAATGTATAGCATGTTATAGCTCCGTCTTCAGTTATTTTGATTCCTTTAGGTTTTGTTATATTACTTTAATTTGTTCTGAATGGATTCATGAGATTTGAACATTGGTAAAATACTTTTGCCAATGATCTAATTCCAGATGCACACAACACCAATACCTGTTTATTTTTAATTGTTTTGTTATGGCGGTTAACACAAACATGAAAAAGAGATAATCAAGAATTCAAAAATAGTCTAATGAACGAGAAATATTTCGCTCTTGACAGTTCATGTACAATGTATTTAAAACAAATAAAAAATAAAAAATAAGAAATTTATGCATTTAATTTGAGGGTTAAAATGCGAGAACAACCATTACAAACTAAATTATAACTTTGAATTTTTTTATGTAGAAGAACATAATATCAATAAACACAGATATAAAATCAAAAAAAGATAATTGTCATTGTAAGATTCTGTTTTTTACTTTTATAGATATTTATCTAAAATCTACTGCAATGAAAATGAAAAACATGAAATAAGATATCCAATGTTAGAACTAGGACAGACGTATGATTGAGTTCTAGTTAAAACCATATGAAAATCAAATATAAACTATTTGAATGTACATAAACTTAATATAATATAAGGATGTTAACTCGCATTACCAGATTTTTCTGCATTGCTTCAGGAATAAACTGCGAACTTATTGAAGACTGGGGAAAAGGAAAAGTAGCGGAAACTAGAGCTATCAAACGCATAGCTGAGCTGATCGAAAAGAAATTTTGTGATGGCAGTGGGATCATCGGGATGTGGTAAATCTACTTCAATTCATTACGTGGCTCTTCAACTATACCATAAGCAGGGTTATGATATAAAACCTGTACACAGCCCGGAGGAAGTGAGACATTATTATAATCCTGAGTGTAAACAAGTTTATGTAATAGATGATATATGTGGGAAATCTACCATTGATATAAATCTTGTTAATTGTTGGGAAAGACAATTAACTGAAATCCAAAAAATATTAAAGGTTCAACAGGTTAAAATTCTATCATCATGTAGAACTCATATTTTCCAAAATCGTCTATTCAAAAAGCTTTCTTCTTTCTTCTCAATATCATGTGATTTGACATGCGATTATAGATTGACACGTGATGAAAGAAAGGAAATTGCTAGTATTTATTTAACAAAAGATGAAATAAAACTGATACATGGAACCGTATTTACAGACCAATTTGACTTCTTTCCTCTTCTTTGTAACATTTTTTCAACGCAAAAATTGTCGAATATTCGTGTTTTTTTTTTTAAATCCTGTGCAGGTTGTTAGAGATGACTTGACTCTTTTAATGAACGACAATGATCAAAAAACAATTGCTACCCTTATGCTTTTTACCGTTTACAACAATACTATAAACGAAACTTTATTATCTGGGACCTCAGGTATAACACAGGTTCTGGAAACTATTTCAGATAATTTCCATTTGCAACAATGCTTTTCAATTCAATGTGTTAAATCAGAGCTGGATAATTTGAACCGTTCTTACGTTAAAAAGATAGGACAAATCTATAGGGTTCAGCATGACAAATTATATGAAATTTTAGTATTGTACTTAGGTGAATACAAGTTCGACCTTTTACTTGATCTTGCCCATACTGATATTATACGTGACATGTTTCTACTACAATCTTATAATGAAACAGAACAACATAATGTATACTACGTCAAACATTTTATAGATATTCAAGAACAGAACGAATCTAGCTATTTCAGTCGTCTAATAAGAGATGTAAATGATGGGTTTGTACAAAATGTTATGAATAATAAACAAATGAAGTATCCTAGCTTTCGCCACAAAATTTCTGAAAAAATTAAAAGCGATTTAAACTTTATGGATGTAATTAGAAACCTTCCAATAGAAACAGTATCCTCATTGTTACAATCAATGATTTGTCACAACTTTTGTGACATAGTTGCCATTTTGGTGGATTATATTGATTTAGATATTCACGGGTTGATTGCTTTGAACATTGCAACAGAAACAGGATCTACTAGTATTGTGAAATAGTTATTAGATCGTAATGTTGCTCCTGAAGAAAGTAATACTGTTCAAAGAGGAAATAAAATAACTTCCCTATTTGTAGCTTCAGAAAAGGGTTATACTGAAATTGTAAAATTACTGCTTGAACATGGAAGCAATCCTAGTAAAACTGTTTGGAGAAGAAATGAAAATACTCCTTTGTATGTCGCTTCAGAAAATGGTTATATTGATGTTGTAAAATTATTACTAGACTATGGAAGTGATCCGAATATTATTATTGATTGCAGACTTTCTAGTGAATACATTCCCTTGATAAATAAGCCATCTTCAATGATATATCAAGAAAACAAATCGGCTATTCATGCAGCTATTGCAAAAGATCGTTCTGAGGTCGTTACAGTTTTGCTAAATCATAAAGCAGACCCTAATATTAATGGTTGTGACGGAACTCCTTTGTACTTGGCTGTAGTGAAAAGAAATACCGAATTTGTAAAATCGTTGTTGATTCACAACGCAGATCCTAATAATAGCGGCGATGATAAAAACAAACCTCCTCTATGTATAGCTTCAGAAAATGGAGATATTGAAATAGTCAAATTGTTACTTACTCATAAAGCTGATCCTGATATCACTTTTCGTTGGAACAAAAGGTCATCCCTACATTTTGCTATAGAAAATGGTCATATTGAAATTGTACACTTATTATTATTTCATAATGCAAATCCTTATTGCTTCGATGTGCACAATAAAACACCGATTTTTATATCCCTACAAAAAGGACATAAATTTAAAAACCTTTCGATAACGATAATACAAAGCCTGCAATCGGTTCCTGTTCAATATATGTGTTCAACTCTGTTGTATCTTTTTTCTAAATATGGTGCAACTGATAGGTTTAAATCCATTTTAGAAAAGGAAAATGTTGATGTTAACGATAATAGTCTAATTGAGTATAAACAAACAGCATTGTTTATCGCTTCAAAGGTAGGCCATTATGATGCTGTTTCTTTACTATAAGACCATAACAGTGATCCTAATGCTAATATGTTTAATGAAACACCGCTGTTAAAAGCATCACAGATGGGTCATGCTCATATTGTAAAGTTACTTTTAGACGCAAAAGGTGATCCAAATATCTTCAGTGAAAGCGGGAAAACACCTATATATATGGCGTCTATGTTAGGTCATAAGGAAATTGTAAAATTGTTGTTAGAAAAGAACTGTGATCCTAATATCGTTGATATGAACGATGAAACGCCTGTTTTTATAGCTACGTCAAACGGTCATGCCGAAATTGTAAAACTGTTGTTAGAAAACGGTTCTCCTTATACTTGCAATAAATTTTACCAAACACTACTCCATGAGGCTTCGTATCACGGTCATTATGACACTGTGAAAATTCTGTTAGAACATAATTCTGACCCGAATATCAGTAACAAAGAAAATGATAGTCCTCTCTATACAACATCAATCGAAGGCCATAGAAAGATTGTACATTTGTTAATAAAGCACAATTATGACCCTTGCTTTCGAAAATGGTATCACAAAACCCCTTTGTGTATAGCTACATATCTTGGTCATACAGAGATTGTAAAGCTGTTACTGAAATTCAATACCGATTCAAAATTGCAAAAAAGAATATTTTTAGAGCACAACAATAATTCAATAATGTTTAATATTCAAACACCACTCCTTCTTGCTACATGGGCAGGATATATTGATATTGTTAAGTTATTCTTAGAACATAAATGGGATCCAAATATTGCAAACTATGATAATCAAACACCGCTCTTTCTAGCTGTTTTTAGAAATGATATTGAACTGACGAAAATATTACTTGAATATAAGAGTAATCCTAACATTTGTTCTAATGACAATGAAACACCTCTTACCGTAGCTTCAGTGCACGGTTTTACGGAAATTGTTAAACTTTTATTAATAAATAACTGTGACCCTAATTTAACAGATAAACGCAGAACAACAGCCATGTATATTGTCTCAGATAAAGGTCACATCGATACTGTGAAACTATTGTTAGAATTCAAAAGTGATCCAAACATTTGTAATGTTTTAAATGAAACGCCGCTCCACATTTCGTCATATCATGGTCATGTTGAAATTGTGAAATTATTATTAGCCAACAACTGCAATCCTAACATTTGTAATTCAAAAAACGAAAAATGTGTAGACATAGCAATACGAAACGGGCATAAAGACATTTTGGCTTTGTTACAAAAAAGGAATACAGATTCCAAATAACGGCCTTTAAGTATCATGCTTATATTTGGTAAATTTATCTGATAAAAACGTTTGAAGGAAAATATTTGTGCAAGTTAATTTTTTAAAGCTTAATAAAACGTAGTCACTGTTTCCAAAAGATGCTAATTACTTATCTTTTTTAATTCAAATGCTATTTCTTTTTAGATTATTTTTCTACATTACCTAGAAGCAAGACGACTGTCTTGCTTCATTTTTGCTTCATTACAATGTTATGCAATTTTCTTTTGGTCGTATCTATTATCACTTGTTATGGTACATATATAGATTTGATATCATCAGGTCTTATACCTAGGGATTACGTTCAATCACTATCATTATCACTTTTGAACACCAGTATACTACTGTTGCCTTTATTCAGCATCTTAAGGGGGGTACAGAACACCTAAGGAAGATAACTCTTACTCATAGTCTGTTTCATTGCAGCGTTTTAAAATCACATGCAATATGCAAGATTTTAAAAGATCCATATCAGAATGCTTACATTGTTGCCAAGAGCAGATGTACACCTATTGTTATTCAATTAATCTTTTAATCCATTTATAGTAACACATTTTCCATAAATGAATCTTCAGAGACCAAACAGGAAAATTTCAAAGCAAAATGAATTTAAAAAAGAAAAAATCGAAAAGCAGGAGGTCAGATTTTTTCAAATGGGCAAATGAAGGAAAACAGAAGGACCCAGACGTATTTTGCATTTTAATGACCACTACAACTATATTCATAACTTCATTGATATAGCAGCAGAGACTGAGGTTATTGATCCCCTTTATGGGAAACCACAGTCCTAGGTTGTGCCTACTTGTGGGGAGAAGAATAGTTGAACTAGATCTGCTTGCATCAGGCATAATATGTACTGTTTGATTTGCAAGTCCCCTCTCCACCTATCCAATACAGTAGGGGAAAAGTTATTTGGGCTTAGCGGCGTTGTAATGATCTCCCCTACTCCTAGGAAGGAAAAATGGGCTCACGAAAGAGAAATGACTTTGTGCGGTCTATAACGAATCCAAAAGGTATGCCTGTGCTGTCCTAAACTTTCTATGAAATTATCAGAATGACTCCAATCAGAAGTCTGAGTATCCTATTGTTATAGTTAGTCTGACTCTATATAATTACCACGTTTTTGTTTTAGATACACAGAGAGGGTACACAATTAACTCATGTTTATATCAACAGAAAGTAAAAATGCCTAACAATAAAATTATAACCAAATAAAAAAATAAACTGAGGACAATTCTGCTTCTATTCGTACCAGAATTGATCAAAATCAAACCAGAATTGACTCCACGATATACTCTTTTTGAAAACCGTAGTTTTGAATGAAATACACTTAGAAGCGTAAAATTGTAGGTTACGAATAATTTATATATGACATGTGAATTTGTGTGTTGAAAAACGCTGGCATGTTTGTTTTTTATGCAATTTAAAATTTTAGGACATGATTTATATACATATAAAAAGTAAGAAGATACCAATGGGATAATCGACCCAATAGTAATATTGCCAATGGCAATAGTGCATCATTTACAATTACAAGTCGAGGAACAAAGACAACAACAACAACAAAAGAAAACCATCAGATTCAGTCCACAAAACATTACACAGAAACTAAGAATTGAGCACTCTAACATGTATCTCAATAAGAAAAAACTATGTCATTCAACTCTCAGTTTTCAACTTTACCTTGACAGGTGTAGAAAATAAACAGGTGTCTTCTATTCCGTTCGCAATTTTTGGGGAAAGTAAAATATAAATTTAGAACCATGGTTGAAACTGAAAGTACACATGTATGATAAAAATAGAACATGTTATTTCTGCTTTATCAAATTCTAATTTCGAAGGGATAGCAAAATTTTTTTCCTTTTATTGTGCTTTTGTGTATCTTTCCGAAGTAGTGAATGCAATTTTGAAGTAAAGTTTTTCTTCTCAAGTCTAAATTCAAGATTATGACTGAATAGAGTATAAGCGGGCCAAAAAAGTAATGTGACACTTGTTACTGCAATTTGATATTTGGTGGAACGAGAGGTGAAATGAGTTAAGACTTACATCTTAAAAGCATTTTAAAGACTTATTTGTTTTAATCTAGTAACCTCTGCAGAAATACTATCAAATTCTATGTTTAACGAACTTGATTATACATGAGATTATCGCACGGTCAGCTCTATTCTATCACCTAGTTAAAATTTTCAAGAGCCGTGGTTCTTTGCACCAATGGATTCGTCATTCATTTTTGAATCGTATATCATTTGCTTTTTTAAATCTGTGGACCAACAAAATAGAAAATCTTGATAATGTAAAAATATCTGCCGATTTTTATGATTTTCCCTATGTATCCTTTGTATTTTTGGCGTCTCATGCTGTTAATTTCAACAGCTCGTATCTCAAAAACGAAAACGGTTACCCCCTTTTTATTTTATTTTCTGGTGTACTTTTACAAGCATAATCCGTATGTGAAATTTTTAAACAAATCTGTGGAGTAGTTAGTTACGTACACTTTGTCTTAATAGAAACTATACCTTTTTTAATTTTTTATGGAACTACATGTATTTTTTGTCTTGATAGCAGATAATTTTATGTAAATTGTATGCATGGAATTTGTTGATATGTCATAATGTGTGTCTGTATTGTTGTATGGTCGATTTAAATAGCTCATTAGAGCTTGTGTAATATGTATTTGTTTACTAAATATCGACTCTAAATAAAACTTTGAATTCAATTGAATTGAATTAACAAGCCAAATATCTCAGGCCTAGGTCAAAAGACAACAAGTCATGGCCTGCTCCAGTGTTTCTTGCCAAAAATACATTTATGGTTCTCAAGGTCAAAGTTCAAGGTCACATGAAGGTCATAATTGTAAGGGGGCACACCAATTCATGATGATACATCCACATGCCAAAGATGTAAGACCTAGGTCAAAAGACGAAAAGGTTATGGCCTGGTCGTTTTTTCTGCGAAAAAGTACATTACGTTGACCTTGAGGTCAAATTTGAAGGTCACATGAAGGTCATCATGATACAGGACACTAAACCTCATGATGATACATCTACATGCCAAATATCTAAGGCCTAGATCAAAAGACAAACAAGTTATGGTCCATATGTACTATCAGAATGGATCTTGCTCTTATTAATTGAGGGTAGGGGTATATTCTAAACTTTAATAGAAAAAAAATCTGGTGGTTAAATTTTTATACATTTTTGCAAGAATAACAGACTGATATAGAACTACAGATGGTTTGTTTTAAAAAGAAATTAAACGACACATTTTTTATTTAAATTTTCTTCTTCAAATACTTGACCCATCATATATAGTCATTTTTGGGGGCTGAATCTGAGACCCCCCTTTTTTAGTTCGGACAAAATTTAAATCCAGAATAAAAAACTTACAAGTAAAGGGTGTCTGTGAACTAAAATTCGCCTCCGTTATTACTATAAACTATGTTATTGTCAATTTAGGATTAATTTTAAAAAATGTTAACATATATACCCCTATACCCAGATTTCTGAAACTTCCAAGCTTGGCCTATGTTAGCATGTAAAAGATGCCATATTTGAGTTGCCAAATCTTTTAAACCAATGGTTCAAATCTTTTGAAATGTTTCTAATATGTTTAGCTAGACCTAGTACATCAATGCGAGAAAAACAAGAAAAATTTAACGACAGGTTTTTTTGGGGGTATAGTGTTGGGTACCCCCTAAAATAAGATAATATTTTAAATTCGTTTTTATTATATTGTATATTGGTATTATAGATTTGATAGATATTAGAACACATTTTGATTTAATGTTCCTCTATGTTCCTTGTGTAATTCACCTAACCGAGAGAACATGAGCGGTAGAGAGATGAAAAAATGACTAATACTCATGTTTATGTATTTGCCCTATGTCTTATGATGTCAATGTGATATAATTGATTTGTTCTGCTTTTAAGGAAATTTAGTGTTGATGACATATCGATGACAGTTGAAACTATGAGCTATTTAGAGCTTTGCCTATTGTTTATAATTTTCAGGGTTATAAAGACCCTTTGTTTACCTCTAGATATCAAACTTTATTTTTATTTTCGTCTCTCATTAACGTCCACCCATACATTCCCCTGTATTTGAATTTAGTGGATTAGCTCCGGTTCCGCCCACTATGCATTACTAGTAGTTTGTATCGAATTTTTGTTGTATTCTTATCATAATAATTATTTACTTTAACTGTATTAATGATTTAATGTTAAAAGTTCGATTAAAATGGTGTTTTCTTTTGATTCATCCAATTTGATATTTCCCTTGTACGAACTTTGTAAGTTTACGAATTGGTTCAAGAATTCTAAAGGAAATAGACAACCAAAGCATATGTATTAACATTTAGTTTGATGTGTACTTAGAATTTGAGTTTTCAGAAAATTTTACCAAAAATATGTCGACAGATTTCGTAACTGAGATAAAAAAAAAAAAAACGTCAAATACTTTCCACTGTTTTTATATTTCTATTTTCCTTTAAATTCAGTAATTGTTTTTCCATTAAAAATGACTTGTAAATCAAGATTAAAGAATAGACTACATTTTTCTATGATGAGTTTTTGTAGATGTATTTCTTTGTATAGTGTGGATCACTTTATTTTTCATCATTTTGTACCAATAAATGATTGTTTTGTTATAAAGTGTTCTTATTATAAACATCAAGGAATAAAAACCATAAAAAAATGTATTTCAACTACACTTTCTTGTTATATTTGCCTCTTTCAATTTAAACAATATATACGACCTTAAAACATTTATTTTTTGTGACAAAAATGATACATGTCATAAACTTTTCAGAATGTACTGATACCAACATAAATGAATTAAGCAGCGATACGTGAAAAGGATAAAAGGAATAATCAAAATCATTGGATATAGCAACAGAGCAACCTAAAAACCAAAAAGCGTCTCCTCTCAACAAAATATACGAAATAACAACATACAACACAAGGTCCAGCAAGGCTCACTGGATACACATATAAATTGTAGTGGGGCTTATCAAGTTTAGTGAGAGATAAACTAAAATTGCTCCAGCAGAATTATGAGTAAGTACGATGGAACTCGACAAGGAGTACGATTTACTGTTGTGCTTCCTCACGTATTTGTTGACCGATACGATATGTCGGTGTCTCAACTCACTGGCGACATGTTTTTGCGGTCTTAAATTTTTAGATACCAGTATAGAGGTCTGATCTTTCTCCTATTCCTAATTGTGACATTTTGACTGAGTTTGAGTTCGTATTGCGGGTGCTGCATGCATAGCAGGAGACACTTACCCTGTCTGACGCAGCTGGTTTCGCTTCTTTCGGAGTTCATGCGAATCCCTCAGTTTTTGTTTGTTACTTTGATTTGTCTCTATCTAATCGATGTACAAGATTTGAACATCGGAAAAGTTCTGTCGCCTTAATTTACGGTTCCTGCGTAGGAAACCATGTGTGGTGTTTCCTTTGTTGCAGATGGTGTTTATGTGACTCTGATATTTAAGGTCCGATTGGATTTTAACCCCTAGATGTTTTGTCTTGTCTACATGTTCGAGAGTGTGGTATCTTAAGGTGTATTTGCGTGTAATGGAGTTTTTATTTCAGCTGATGGTGAAGACATTAAACTTGTATGGATGAAAGATCTTTTTACATTTGTTTTCCCAAATACCTTCAACAGTTTTGCTGTCACTATTAGATTTCATAATCAGATATACAGTTGTATCATCTGCAGTAAGTGTATGACGAAATGTAAGCCAACTTTTAAAAAGTCAGCTAAAGAACAGAACCTTGAAAAACTTTTTTTTTTTTAAACTTACGGGTAAATATCATAAAGTCTCATCCTCTAGGAATAATGTTTGGGTACGAAGTGATAAAAATGTATATATCCATGTGTTTGTTTTACCCTGTATCCCATAATGAATAGTCTGTATGAGTAGGTTATGACTGATTTATCAAAGGCTTTAGAGAAATCCATTATTAATACATCTGATTGTTTTGCGAATTTCAATAGTTGTATAAGATCTATGTTTTCAAAAGTCATGTTAGAGGGTATATAGAATGTTATGGTTGTCTGCATGTGTTAATATTACAAGATAAACGTGTCAGAGAAGTAGATCTATAATGTTTTTGATTGTTTATATACCCTTCTTTGCAAATGGAGAAGACATGTGCAGTTGGTAGCCATGCTTGGGATTGGTAATATCTAGTCTGCTAGCTCTCGAACTATTAAATTCTATCTATATCTCTTCAACACTGTGAATTTACCTTTGTCTGTAATATAAAGTGTAGGTATTTTTCCTCTTTTTTTAAGTTTCTCAGTTTGCCTTGTTGTATATTAGACCATTTCTTATTGTATGTTTTAATTAACATTGCCATATAAGCGGGAGGTTTGGCTAGCCATAAAACCAGGTTCAACCCACCATTTTTTCTTAAAATGTCCTGTACAAAGTCAGGAATATGGCAGTTGTTATCAAATAGTCCGTTTCTATTTTTAACATTGCCATATTGCCATATTTCAACTACACTTTCGTGTTATATTTGCCTCTTTCAATTTAAACAATATATACGACCTTAAAACATTTATTTTTTGTGACAAAAATGATACATTTCATAAACTTTTCAGAATGTACTGATACCAACATAAATGAATTAAGCAGCGATAAGTGAAAGGGATAAAAGGAATAATCAAAATCATTGGATATAGCAACAGAGCAACCTAAAAACCAAAAAGCGTCTCCTCTCAACAAAATATACGAAATAACAACATACAACACAAGGTCCAGCAAGGCTCACTGGATACACATATAAATTGTAGTGGGGCTTATCAAGTTTAGTGAGAGATAAACTAAAATTGCTCCAGCAGAATTATGAGGAAGTACGATGGAACTCGACAAGGAGTACGATTTACTGTTGTGCTTCCTCACGTATTTGTTGACCGATACGATATGTCGGTGTCTCAACTCACTGGCGACATGTTTTTGCGGTCTTAAATTTTTAGATACCAGTATAGAGGTCTGATCTTTCTCCTATTCCTAATTGTGACATTTTGACTGAGTTTGAGTTCGTATTGCGGGTGCTGCATGCATAGCAGGAGACACTTACCCTGTCTGACGCAGCTGGTTTCGCTTCTTTCGGAGTTCATGCGAATCCCTCAGTTTTTGTTTGTTACTTTGATTTGTCTCTATCTAATCGATGTACAAGATTTGAACATCGGAAAAGTTCTGTCGCCTTAATTTACGGTTCCTGCGTAGGAAACCATGTGTGGTGTTTCCTTTGTTGCAGATGGTGTTTATGTGACTCTAATATTTAAGGTCCGATTGGATTTTAACCCCTAGATGTTTTGTCTTGTCTACATGTTCGAGAGTGTGGTATCTTAAGGTGTATTTGCGTGTAATGGAGTTTTTATTTCAGCTGATGGTGAAGACATTAAACTTGTATGGATGAAAGATCTTTTTACATTTGTTTTCCCAAATACCTTCAACAGTTTTGCTGTCACTATTAGATTTCATAATCAGATATACAGTTGTATCATCTGCAGTAAGTGTATGACGAAATGTAAGCCAACTTTTAAAAAGTCAGCTAAAGAACAGAACCTTGAAAAACTTTTTTTTTTTTAAACTTACGGGTAAATATCATAAAGTCTCATCCTCTAGGAATAATGTTTGGGTACGAAGTGATAAAAATGTATATATCCATGTGTATGTTTTACCCTGTATCCCATAATGAATAGTCTGTATGAGTAGGTTATGACTGATTTATCAAAGGCTTTAGAGAAATCCATTATTAATACATCTGATTGTTTTGCGAATTTCAATAGTTGTATAAGATCTATGTTTTCAAAAGTCATGTTAGAGGGTATATAGAATGTTATGGTTGTCTGCATGTGTTAATATTACAAGATAAACGTGTCAGAGAAGTAGATCTATAATGTTTTTGATTGTTTATATACCCTTCTTTGCAAATGGAGAAGACATGTGCAGTTGGTAGCCATGCTTGGGATTGGTAATATCTAGTCTGCTAGCTCTCGAACTATTAAATTCTATCTATATCTCTTCAACACTGTGAATTTACCTTTGTCTGTAATATAAAGTGTAGGTATTTTTCCTCTTTTTTTAAGTTTCTCAGTTTGCCTTGTTGTATATTAGACCATTTCTTATTGTATGTTTTAATTAACATTGCCATATAAGCGGGAGGTTTGGCTAGCCATAAAACCAGGTTCAACCCACCATTTTTTCTTAAAATGTCCTGTACAAAGTCAGGAATATGGCAGTTGTTATCAAATAGTCCGTTTCTATTTTTAACATTGCCATATTGCCATATTTCAACTACACTTTCGTGTTATATTTGCCTCTTTCAATTTAAACAATATATACGACCTTAAAACATTTATTTTTTGTGACAAAAATGATACATGTCATAAACTTTTCAGAATGTACTGATACCAACATAAATGAATTAAGCAGCGATAAGTGAAAGGGATAAAAGGAATAATCAAAATCATTGGATACAGCAACAGAGCAACCTAAAAACCAAAAAGCGTCTCCTCTCAACAAAATATACGAAATAACAACATACAACACAAGGTCCAGCAAGGCTCACTGGATACACATATAAATTGTAGTGGGGCTTATCAAGTTTAGTGAGAGATAAACTAAAATTGCTCCAGCAGAATTATGAGGAAGTACGATGGAACTCGACAAGGAGTACGATTTACTGTTGTGCTTCCTCACGTATTTGTTGACCGATACGATATGTCGGTGTCTCAACTCACTGGCGACATGTTTTTGCGGTCTTAAATTTTTAGATACCAGTATAGAGGTCTGATCTTTCTCCTATTCCTAATTGTGACATTTTGACTGAGTTTGAGTTCGTATTGCGGGTGCTGCATGCATAGCAGGAGACACTTACCCTGTCTGACGCAGCTGGTTTCGCTTCTTTCGGAGTTCATGCGAATCCCTCAGTTTTTGTTTGTTACTTTGATTTGTCTCTATCTAATCGATGTACAAGATTTGAACATCGGAAAAGTTCTGTCGCCTTAATTTACGGTTCCTGCGTAGGAAACCATGTGTGGTGTTTCCTTTGTTGCAGATGGTGTTTATGTGACTCTGATATTTAAGGTCCGATTGGATTTTAACCCCTAGATGTTTTGTCTTGTCTACATGTTCGAGAGTGTGGTATCTTAAGGTGTATTTGCGTGTAATGGAGTTTTTATTTCAGCTGATGGTGAAGACATTAAACTTGTATGGATGAAAGATCTTTTTACATTTGTTTTCCCAAATACCTTCAACAGTTTTGCTGTCACTATTAGATTTCATAATCAGATATACAGTTGTATCATCTGCAGTAAGTGTATGACGAAATGTAAGCCAACTTTTAAAAAGTCAGCTAAAGAACAGAACCTTGAAAAACTTTTTTTTTTTTAAACTTACGGGTAAATATCATAAAGTCTCATCCTCTAGGAATAATGTTTGGGTACGAAGTGATAAAAATGTATATATCCATGTGTTTGTTTTACCCTGTATCCCATAATGAATAGTCTGTATGAGTAGGTTATGACTGATTTATCAAAGGCTTTAGAGAAATCCATTATTAATACATCTGATTGTTTTGCGAATTTCAATAGTTGTATAAGATCTATGTTTTCAAAAGTCATGTTAGATGGTATATAGAATGTTATGGTTGTCTGCATGTGTTAATATTACAAGATAAACGTGTCAGAGAAGTAGATCTATAATGTTTTTGGTTGTTTATATACCCTTCTTTGCAAATGGAGAAGACATGTGCAGTTGGTAGCCATGCTTGGGATTGGTAATATCTAGTCGGCTAGCTCTCGAACTATTAAATTCTATCTATATCTCTTCAACACTGTGAATTTACCTTTGTCTGTAATATAAAGTGTAGGTATTTTTCCTCTTTTTTTAAGTTTCTCAGTTTGCCTTGTTGTATATTAGACCATTTCTTATTGTATGTTTTAATTAACATTGCCATATAAGCGGGAGGTTTGGCTAGCCATAAAACCAGGTTCAACCCACCATTTTTTCTTAAAATGTCCTGTACCAAGTCAGGAATATGGCAGTTGTTATCAAATAGTCCGTTTCTATTTTTAACATTGCCATATAAGCGGGAGGTTTAGCTAGCCATAAAACCAGGTTCAACCCACCATTTTTTCTTAAAATGTCCTTAACCCAGTCAGGAATATGGCAGTTGTTATCAAATAGTCCGTTTCTATGTATATTGATCTTTAACATTGCCATATAAGCGGGAGGTTTGGCTAGCCATAAAACCAGGTTCAACCCAAAAATGTCCTGTACCAAGTCAGGAATATGGCAGTTGTTATGAAATAGTCCGTTTCTATGTATGTTGGCGTTTGTTTTTGTTGCAGTTCAGTGTTTCTGTTGTTCCGTTGTTTTCCTCTTATAGTTGATGTGTTTCCCTCGATTTTAGTTTGTAACCTGGATTTGTTTTTGCTTAATCGATTTATGACTATTGAACAGCGGTATACTACTGTTGCCTTTATTTAACTTAGAAACTGTTGTATTAAATTCCATGAAAACTATATCGCTTTTTGATTCAATGCCTGATTTCGACTTGAGAAACCAGATTTTAGTAAGTTTGTTATTATAAGACCTAAAAATGTTTTCCTTCATCAGTGGCTGTTCGACTAGCTATACCATCCAACGTATCACCAAAATCATAATGGGTTTTTTTGTGAGTAGATTTTAGTTTTAATGTTTGTTTTCCCAATCTTAACCTTGGATACAAAAGTCTCCTCCAAGTAATATTGCTGCATTTTTATTTGAGAAGCTCTTCTAATAGATGTGTCAACCCACAAGTTTTGTTCCTTTGATGTTTTAGAATTGTATTACTAGTAGGCTGATATATAAAGTGACCCTTAATTCCAATGTTTGTCCATATCAATACAGATTTATCATAAGGTTAAAGATCTACTTCATCGTTGATAAAGTCTGATTTTCAAGCAATGAGTACACAGCCACCTTGCTGATCCTCCGGGTCTGTCTGCATATTTTGAACACTTCAGGAAAGATTTGGAAGATTTCAATATGTTTAATGCTTGATCAATATGTTGAATCGAGACACATTTCTGTTTTCTATTTTCTACAATATCATGATTATTTCTGTCTAGAACATGTTGTACTAGGTTTTGTTTGCATTTTAATAGTGTGTTACAATTTCATTTTTTTTTTTAATGCATGGGTGTATTTGTTTGCGATTTTAGGCTACACAATCATCATCATTTTAATATTAAGCTTTCAAATGGAATAGATGAATTAGTACCAAGCAAATCCAAAGGACATATTCTATAGTTTGGATTTTCACAAACCAATCAGTGTCAACTAATCATGCTATCATTAAAGACGTCGTGTGTATTGTTATGAATATTTCGGCAATCAAGATACTATTGTCGCAGGTTTCACAGACTATACCTCTGTGTTCCCAGCTTACAGCATCGTCACGCATGTACGTTGTGCTATCGTTACTTCGATCAGGATTACTTTCCATGTTATTTTACTATGTTAAAATAAGATGATTAAAAAAATTACTAATTTGCTTCGTTTCAATTGGTCAAGTTTGTGTTTCTTAGACAACCTTATTAGTATAATATCTAAGACAGTAGGTCTTTTATATAATACTAGTACCTATGGTAATGCCATGTTGACCTTCTGTTGTATTCTGATGGCTTATAGAATATTTTGGGGACAGCATTGGTCCATGCTCATGACTGAATAATATGTACATTCAGTATAAATGATGACATTTCGAATGATTCGCATGTCCAACGATCATTTTGAATCAAGATACCTGAGTAAGTCAAACCCCATACCTGCCAATCAAGCTATAAAATTTCCTGAAATGACAAATGTAAAACAATTCAAACTACCTGTTTAACGTACAAAATAATAAACGAAAAAACAAATATGATATACAGCAACACACGACAACCACTGAATTACAGGCTCCTGACATGTTTTTACGAAATTCCGCATACTTTTCATTATTTGGAATTTGTGAGGAGACAGAAAAATATTTTCAGGAAGCTCAGCAAATGACATGAAATAATACGCTGCTGACGATACATGATGAAAAGTTATTAACTGCCGTTGTGGATGGACAGTACATGTGAAGACACACTCAAATAATCATACAACTGTTAGCTTCAGAAGAGATTATCTTTGTACCCAGTTGCTACCCTGGGTCATTAAATTATGCACACACAAATGAGCGATGTTACTGATGAAAAAAACGGATTTGATAGGCTTTTACTCAGAGTGCTTTGTTTCCACCCAAAGTCCCCTTTCGTGTGACAAAATCTTTTTTACCTAACTGGAGGAATATTTACATAACAGTATGTCTTAAAAAAAGTATGTTGATACTTGTTTTCTGATTACTCAATTAAGATGTGTTGTGTAACTCTTTACTGTATTCTAAGAATTAAAGTTTAAGCATTTATTCTGTTTTAGGCCTGTTCCTCAAAACAATTTGAAGAGCCAAAACAAAGACATTCCTTGCTCATGCGCAGTACTGTTAATACTTCAACACATGGTTAAGCAAGGTTCTTTTATAAATTTAGTCTCGATTAGTTGAAACTAACAATGGGTATATAAAAGTAGGTACTAATTTTCATGTCAACAGATTTAGATGTCAAGAAAACTTGTGAGGTTAGGAGGAATACACAAATTTCATTCTGTTCATGTTGGTATAATAGGCATGCACAATTTGTGAAAAATTCATTTACTCCTGCACAAATTACCCACAATAAGAACTAATATAATTGTTTATTTTTTACACATTGTGACTTGGATGGAGAGTTGCCTCATTGACACTCGTACCACATCTTCTTATTTCGATAAAACAGGAGCAATATTAAAACAAAGACTACGGAGATACCGGCAACAACATGACCAAACACAGAAAAACAGGAGATACAATAGACAAACAAGAACATTAATACCATATTCAATAGAAAAGACAGAGAAGAAGGTACAACACCACAAGTAATAGGAAAGAGGTATAAAAACAACCGGCAACACCACGGACAAAAAAAAACAATATGACAAAATTCATTTAAAGATATTCAAATCCATTGCCAACTGATAAGACAGAAACTCAATAACCTAAAAGTGAAAATCATCGCGAATGGCAACACCATTGCTAACGGAATGAACTGAGGACACAGAGATATACCTCGACTTTTAAGAATTTATATAGTAGAAGGTGTATATTTACATAAATTATATATTACCTACCAAATATCATACAGTACCGTTTGTGGTTCCCATTCAACTGACCTAATCACAAATTTTAACGATAGCATTAACACTATCGAAAAGATTCAGCCAACGGAGAATGACTTGGCGCGGGGCCTAATATTCTATATGAAATTGATATTTGACACTTTTTATACATTTCTTAACTAAATATCATTGACTTATCATTAGTGGTCCCCATAAACTGATCTAATCCCAAACTTGAAATATTGTTGGCGCCGTCATCATTGAAAAAAAACACACCTACGTTTCTTACTTCGTCGAGACCAGACAAAAGATAAATGAAAAACCTGGTAACCGTTCTTATTGAAGGCATGAGTAATAATGGCGAAATCCTATATAGTATATAGGACGACACATATTGCCATGAAAGAAAACAACAAAAGAGGACAGGCAACACATTGACCAACCATACAAAACAAATTATAAGCGCTGACAATATGATTAAAAAAAAAACAAAAAAAGGCTGACACTATCAAAACCAAAACATGTCAAGAAGACATAAAACTCTAAGAAAACTCTCCAGAAAAGTATTTGGTCTGGCAGACAGGCAGGCAATAATAATGATTGAAGAAATAAAAATAAGAAGATAGAAATTCTTTTTTAGACAAGAAGTGGTTGGATTGATATACATGAAAAAAATGCAAACTTCAGTTTTTACAACTTTTTAATGAACAAAATATACAAAACATATAAATGAAAAGAAACATTATTTTGCAGAGGTGAAACAAGGATAATTAACGATATTTGTACTTTGACCATCTTTATATGTGGTCTTACATCAAACCCTGACCATCTCCACGTATGGTCTTATGTGAAAACATGGCTGTCTTTATAATATGCGGTCTTTAAAAGGAAAATGTAAAAGTCTTGTTGTGTAACCTAACTATTTTTATCAAAGAGAATCTATTACGCAAAAGAAATGTATGATTAAACTCATCCTAGATACTAGGATTAAATTATTTTACGGCAGACGCGCGTTTTTTTACAAAAGACTCATCAGTGACGCTCGAATAAAAAAAAGTTAAAAAGGCCAAAAAAGGCACGAAGATGAAGAGCATTTAGGACCCAAATTCCGAAAGGTTTTGCCGAATAAATCTATGGTTATCTACTCCTGAAGATATTCTCGTATTTTACCTTTTTCGAAAAACAATATAACTTAACAGGGAAACTTTCGCAGCTCTTTTTAATTTCCGACAGAATTTTCTATAACATTAAATCTCCCCAATTGAGCCTTTTTATTATTTGCATACGGCATATCTTTCTTATTCTTGAAATTTCTTGCAATAAGGTTACACACACGTGTATTGTTCATTTTCCCTCTCAGTGAAAGTTAGTATAATTGTAGATAACGACAATGCATGTGCTTATTCTTCTCTGCTAGCAAAAACAATAACTCTTGAAACATACGCCTAACATTTTAACCTTTTTTTGGAAAGCTTTAAATATATCTGATGAAATTTCCGGCCTTAATTTTTTTCTCAATATAACAACTGGAGAACCCAAAATGTTTTCAGAACTTAACCCCTTGTTAGCAAAACGATAACATGTACACAAGATCTGTAATCAAATAAGATAGAAATTTTACATCATAATTTCCTTAATTCAATATCTAAACTACAATAATGTAGTTCATTTTAGATGAGTTTTAGACAGGAATATGGTTAATGATTAATCTATTAGGTGGAAGAATAACACATCTTCAATGAGTACGAAAATTATATGTTAAGTATTCTCATATATGTAACTAAAGGGTTTTCAAACGAAGCTTGTTGTGCGTCCTCCCACTTAAAACTTCACAAAAAAATAAAAAAATGTCAGATTTCTCGAAAACTTGTCAAATGTTAAAATCATTTCAGCCTCAATACCGCAAAATCAAAAGTCCACGCCCTCCTTATAATCTGCTTCTCAATATTTAATTTCGAGATCCGCACTAGCAGTTCATGTCACAAAACTAAACTTCAGTGAACATACATGGTATTAATTTAATAAGTCTGCTACATGATCAATGTATAGTCATATAAGCAGTGTTCAGTCTCCAATAAAAGGATTTCAATTTCGGATATTGGCTTAAATATAATTATGACTACTACGAAAACTTTTGCATTTTGAAATTTTACAGATAAAAAGTAACAATAATATGAAACACAAATGGAAATAGATATAATATATAACAACATATAAATATAAATAATAAAACCATTCAAAAATTCAATTACACACATTCAATTTGCTTCCACACTTTCACAACCATTATAAAACAATCTCATTTTCTCAAGCTTACACAATTTTTAACGTTATCATATTGTATACATTTTCAGTTCAGAGTCGATGAAGTATATTTAAAAAAAAATGTTTTCTGTTTTAAAAGGTGTGTTAACAGTGGTAGACAGTATGCAACCTTGTAGTGTATGCATCATAATTTTGGAATAGTGGTATATTTGTTCTGTTAATAAAGTCTGTTAATATTACTTTGAGAAACTTGCTAATGTTATGATTGACCTATTTGACTGGTTACTCATGAAACAATATAAATGACACTGATAAAACAGTTTAACATCATACATCATACACGTTAATTAGTTATTAGATGTTCAAAAAGATTGAAAAATTACTCTGGCATTGAAGTTGTGTAACCAAAAAAAAGCGGCTGTTAAGATATTATATATACTTTACATATACTTGAAGTAATTACAAAATTAAATGTGATAAGATATACAATTTTTTCTTGACCAATATTACTTAGTAATTTGTTCCAACTTGATGTAGTTTTAAACTTTATTCATCAAGCGGAATATAAAATTCATGCAAACAAATGTAGTCGGTCTTTGTTGTGATACATAAATTTCATGACAATTGCTACTCATCCTAACAACCAACTCAGGATAACACTCATTCATAATCTATTTTACTCACATAGAAACTTACATCATATTTACACGTTAAACAATAATATTATTTGTGATTTTTTTTTTATAAAAGCACAAAACACTGGCCAAAATACTAGTTTGTCAGCCGATTATTTTATGTTAGCACTTTTTACTATCAATTGACGTTCAATAAGAATGCCACTACCACGTTCATTATAAATCAGATGTAACCTAAAAATTGCACAATCAAGTCACACTCTGCATCAATCAGAATATACATTATAATCATTAATACGTCTTACTCGGTGTATAGCTATGTTTATGCAAAGTTCTGGTGGCAATTGGATATGTCTTGCATTTAACATATTTAACACACCAACTGAAAGTGAAAGACCTGATTTAGTACCCATTTATGGGTATTTCGTTGCGTTTTGAAAACACAGTTAACATGTACACGATATGAGGTATGAGGTTACGCTGCTGCCACTAACTTATAGAAAGTCTGTTAAGGAAATCAGCGTCAACGTCGTCCAAATGAAGCAGACATTGCATCTCTCATCATTTTCTCCATCTGAAACCAAATAAAACAAATTAAGGATAACGTAAATCCGGGTACTTTGAAACAAGGAGTTTTAAATGATTAAATAATGTTATGATCGACCAATTTGACAGATCAAAACAATTATGAAATAATGATCATCAAAGGAGTTTATTTGTAGTGGAATTAAGATGACTATGCATCTCCATCCTCATTCCAAGTACGCTGTAAGTGTTATAACTATTGACACTGTTATACTAACTTCACCCTAAATTATTTCTCTAAATTTATCTTTTAACTTGTACAGAAATTAATAATGTGTAGAAGAGTGCTGAAAAAAGTGTATTTATTACTCCGATTTCACTACATGCTGTACTTGTAGCTTATATTACTGTGAAATATGAAAATGCCATTTTTCTCATGTTCATATACGCTCATTTTACATATTGTAATGAACGTTGTATCACTTTTTTGTCATTTTTCATTACTTTAATAATATAATGTTCTATTACAATTTTTGTAGTTAAAGCTTTAAGAATCAGGTTAGATGTTAGTTATTATTCATGTCAGTGTGTTTTGATTTTTGTTATTGATATCATTTATTTGTTAATAATTTGTTAGTTTTTTGTTAAAAGAATTGAAAAAACGAGGATCTGAGCGATCAAAGCTTACATCTGAAGGTTCTTATTTTAGGATCTTACATCAGCTTTAGGACACATCGGCACTACACATCGTCTTTTTTGTCTATGAGAAGGACAATCCATTCCGCCACGTCTTGGCTTTTTAAGTATTTTTCGCCTTCGTTTCTGAACTGCATCATCACCACATGACTGTGAGCATGGTGACCATGGTCCCCATTCTCCAACCTGGCAGTCTATAGCTAGAAAGATAAAATTTTGAATAGAAGATATATTCAATTCTCAATTTCTGTCATACATATTTGAAAGCTTTGGAATTTTATTTAATTTCATGTAAGAGTCGGAGTAAGAATCTAGTTATTTATAAATCAAAAAGGAGGAGTAAGGGAGTTTCGAAAATTAATGATTAATTACTTGTTAATTACGTGATACCCATGAAATTTATAAAGTGTTGTTTTCGTTTTTATTTTTCATTCAATGCATAATTTCAGATACTTAATTTTTTAGTGATGGGTATTGCATTCGAATACTCTGTGAAGCTTAGTAAATGCGTTTAACTCGTCCTTTCTACAAATGTAATATTTGGGTCCTTTCTCCTTCAATTTTTTATTACGACAATTTTTATTCACAAGTTTCAAATGCAATGAATCTGGAAAAATGTCATATACTCTGATACCATTTATATAATGGGAAAAGAGATATACTTACGACATTTCGGTGATTTACATTTCTTCTTTCTCATTAATTTTCTAGGACATGGTTTTCCACCATTCGAATCTTTGGTAATAACTTTCCTTGTTTTCGTCACTAAGCCACGACCACAGGTGACCGAACATCTTGACCAATCAGACCATTTAGTTACTTCACAGTTTATTGCTGGTCCTAAGCTTGGGTCATGTTTAGTGCGTTTGTTTTTTCGCATTCGCTTATTTTTATTTTTCCGATTTGATTTCTTTTTCATTCTTAATTTTTTCCTTCGTTTGGCTTCGTCATCCGACATTTTATCTTTCTTTTTTGGAATCATCACTTCTTCTACAATAACAGAGTTTAATCTAGGATCAACTTTTTCTGAAGAAAAAGAACAGTGGAAATTTAACATAGTGTTTTTATCATTTTTTTTTTCCGATCCCATGCCATTCCAGATATCATGCAGTCCAGCACCTTCGAAAATTTTGTATAGAAATAATGATATCTTAACGTGCAAACCATGCCAGGAATAAACGCAAATGAAAAGCATTGTTTTATCTAATATATAATACCACTTAAAAGATTAAGGCCAAATCAATAAAAAACACGAAGAGCATTAAAAACAAAAATTCCAAAATAAATGTGCAATTTCTACCTAAGGCAAGCTGAGCATAGGGGTAGAAAACCTTAGTGTTTCAAATGATTGAAACCACACTTTTAAACTGAACGTGTTAAGAATAGTTTATGCCTACACAGAAAAGCGCTGACTTCTCGGCTTCTGATACCTTCGGGGACAAAAGGTCTACCATCAGTTGCTTCGATCTATTAGTTGTAATAGCTGATGAGAGATACCACGTTTATAATTAAGTACTTTTAGACGCGAGTTTTGTGAACAGTGACTCATCGAATATGGCGGAGGTCAGCACTTACATTATGATGAGGAAATCACAATATCATCGAACTATTATTTGAATATTCATGGTATTTGTCCAATTATTGGTGGTTATATTCATATCATTGATCTAGTTGTTAATAAAAATAATGTTATATATAAATAGTTTTAGTACCCATATGATCCCTGCAGTACATGTTACATTCATTCTCAGTTTCAAATTTATTTTCATTGCCACGACATCCACCATAGTTAAATTGCAAGCACGTCATCAGTGAATGGTTATAGTAATAACGTAGGAAATGACCGGTACATGGTCCATTGTAAGATGGTTGCAAACATATTGCTGAAAATAAAAGGTCAGTTTTGAAGAAGAAAAAAAATGTAAAAGTATCCCAAATATTTGTGAAGACTCTTTTTGTGATGAAGTATAAAAGATTTTTTCTCTAATTTTACATAAAAAGGATAACAGGAATTGCAGAAAATATAAGACACCAAAAAATCAACACTGAATGTATAAATTATAAAAAAAAATAGATTGTAAGGATGTTCGCAACTGTGTTTCAATATAACAAGCTTTTTAAAAGACTGTTATAAAATGATAGTATATAAAACTAAAAAAGCAGAAAAAAATAAAGGGTCCGTGTGCTTGTTTTCGATATATAAGCCATTGAAAATTTGGCGGGAAATTATTCTCTCTAGATTTTTCAAATATGGTTTTTCAAACTATATATTATAAAATTTTGAAAAGAAAAGTTGGGGTTAGCGGGCAAAATTTGTATTGACACTAGATGGATAAAACCAGAGGATTCCGAACATCTGGCAAAAAATCGAAAACAAGAGGAGCGAACATCCTTAAAACACAGTGGAACACAAAAAAGGATAACAAGAATAAATAAGAACTGGACAGTACAACAGACCAGACCACCGACTAACACCAGACTCCTCGGATAAAACAGGCCTACAACCAAAACAAAGAACAACGGACATCACATGGTCCATATGTCCTGACTAGGTACGAGCACAGCATATGTTTGGGTTAAAGCAGTTTTACATCCATGTTAAACCATCCTTCCATTTTTCTATCTAGAACATATGACTTCAAATTATTTCAGCCAAACTGTATATTAAACAAAGATATTGCTAGTGATGAGATAGAGTAAGACCTGACACCTCAATATTTACATGCATACATTTTAAAACAAGTACACTGTTTATAAAATCAATATAACAATATATATTACATTGCAAACACACCAAAATCAGGACTGTTAAAATATTGAATAGAAACATGTTTATTTACCTGTAAAATTTTTCATTTTTTGTGCTAGTTTACAATCTTTAATTTTGCTAACACAAACATCTTTTTCCATTAGATGGAGTCCACAGTTATCTGTGAGATTACTTTTTCGAAGAAACATTCGCCACTTTTCTCTGATACCGAGGCCGCACGTGACACTGCAGGGCGACCAATCAGACCAAGGTGTTATAGCACAAATGTCATCCACCTTCCTGATTGGATCATGTCTTACAACAAAGTCGTCAGGAAGCTCTTTCTGCACTCTGTCTTTTTTACAGTTTCCTAAACAGGATTTCGTTTCCGTAAGATCTATTCCACATATCGACGGTTGAATTTGTGGATTCCTTAAAAATCGCCTCCTTTCTATGGACCCTACTCCACATGGATTATTACAATCTGTCCATTCAGTCCAATCACTCGTTGCACACTTTTCTTGTTCTGAAATAGTTTTCTTATTTATCAACAAATATTATATGCAATGTTAACACTACAAAAATTGGCATGTATCATTTGTCAATTATGTCTAAATTGGTAAAGCCCTTGTAATATCTTCATAAAATGTTTACTTTTTTATCCATCTATCTTTTCCATTCTGTTGCCTTAATCTCTAACAGAAAAAAACAATTCTACACATCCTCGAGTAAATTAAACGTAAAAAGTAGAATAACAAAAATACCGAACTCCAGGGAAAACGACTTACAAGTTTTCTATCAAGAAGATACTTTTCCAAGAAATTTTAAAAATGAATAAAGAACTGATAAAGTTAAACATTGCTGTTAAATTAGATTCCATGTATCTTAAATGCCATCTACCTCGTCCTTTTATATATGAATTTTAATGTTTTTATTAATATAATGAATACGTCCTAAACCTAAAATTAATTTTTATAATAATCTGAAAATTAAGTAAGTAATTGAAAAATATTTCATGCAAAATGTACACTTAAAATGCATTCGATCGCCATGCATCATGCTGAAGTTACGTCCCTTGGTAAAACGCAATACAACTTGCTACTTACTTTGCCGTAAACGCTCAGCTGTAAGGGGAGACAATACATAAAATGGGAATATAAATATGCAGTTTTATGTATAACATCGCATCTATTTTCTTGTCTTGACTATATCGTCCAAATGATTATAAAACAAGTTTTCCTTAAATGTTTGAAAATAATTGTATATCATACATTGTTTTGTTTTGAAATCTCCATTTAATCATTGTCTGAATCTTTAAGAATTACTTATTAGATAAAGACAATTAAGTTTAAGTGTCGTAAATACTTTAAATATTCTTTTAAAACTTATAAATATAATAATTATTGTACAAATAAATATCAATATGCTTGCAGAAATGGAAACGATATAAGAAAGCTAGGCCATAGGCTATTTGATTTATATCCTTCGATACACTCTGACAGTATTTCTCTGTATTTTTCCATGGATAAGATATTTTATTTAAATACAGAGCTTACATATGTATATATGATCTTACTAGCAGCACATTTTACGTTTTAAACATAATTTACATGTACATACATGTGTTGTCTAAAACGTTCACATCAAACTGTACTAAATCATTCCAACGATTGGTTCATTCAATACCAATCTAATCAAAATACATATCCTTTGTCCAAGCTTTGCTGAAATGGAAATCTGACAACACTCCATTCCTTCTAATTTCTGTTCTGATGTTTATCAAATAAGCCACTGAAATTCCTGCAACAACTTTTTGAAGGTGTGTATTATTAGGACAAAACCAGAGAATCCAGAAAGGCCGTTAAAACAGAAAGTACGACGGAGTGTTGTCTGATCCTTGTAAGCAAAGCTTAGACTCATGATCTGTATTTTAATAAGATTGATTCAATACTGCAAGCATATATATTATGCATATATTTAGAGATATAAATAGAGGAGGGTTGACATACGATGTTTTAGACAAAATAGTATGAATACCTACCTATTTTCTTTTTCATCATCATTTTCTTCTTCATCATTTCTATCAGATCTGTTGCACTTGTATCTTCCGACGAATCTTCTGTATCTCCAGTTTTACACACCTCTTTTGTTTTTGTAAAGACTATTTTTGCCATTGGTTTTATTTTTTGTTTACCATAAAATGGAGATTCAGCGTGGTTCGGATACGAGTTAGAAATTTTATGGATGTTTTCTGGTGGGTCTGTTTCAATATTGTGAGACTATAAAACAAAATTGTATATGTTAACTAAACTGATTGAATTTGTTGAAATGTTGAAATTAAGAAACTGAGACAAAACCTTTCTACGTCGTTTTTCCTATTGAGGTGGCATAAAGCAACCACCAATCAATTAAACAAAACCTACCTTCTAGTAACACGTTTACCAAGAACCATAGATTTTTTAATTTTTTAAATTAATCAAATATCGTTGTTCAATTAAGCTGTGGCCAAATATATATATATATATATGTCTTCTAGCTTCGAGCAAGCATGTGTCCATTCGACACTTTGATACGTAAAAGTTATGGAAATTTAGTAAAAGATCTTCAGAATTTGTTTATAACTGAACTTTCACTTACATTTCAAAACAATCATTTGACTTAATATTTCCATCTTTTTCTCAAATGTTATAAGATCCGTAAAATTTAAAGAATAAGGTATCTGCACAAAGTCAATAAATATAACGTTGCAAAATTAAATAATCCGGAAATAAACACATAAACCAAGTACGAACTTTCCAAGTTGCGATTTTAATATACTTACAAAGTATGATAGACCACTATCAGTCCCAGCATCCCATGGGTACAGATCTATACTTATTTCATCTTCCCACTTACAATCTGCTCTGCACATGTTCAACTTACTTACACCTAGTAAAAGATGCAGTCATTGTTATTTTATAATTGAATCTTTTTGTAACAGCTGAAGTCCCCCTTTGAGTTATTTCATAATGAGATTTCCGAATGGGAATAGATGTTAAATATCTATATTTTTTAAGAAACAGAAATCAGGGAAAATGTAATTAATTCTTTTGCACAAATGTAAAGCGCAAGTTCGTCGTTATTTATTAAATTGGTAGTAACGCATTTTGTATTCCCGATTTCTGCACTAAATTATCTTTCGTTTACATATGGTGAAAGGGAGATAATTTAATTTTACAAATGCTAATTTACACAACTTCTGTACCGTACACGCCAAAAAAATCATGCGTTTTATTTCTGTTTTAATACTCGTTGTTCGTTCTTATATATCGGGAACGTTCTCATAATAACAGAGTACGCAGACGGTTTATTTTCTCTGTTAGCCTAAAAAGGCATATACGTGTTGGCAAATGCCACGGAGAGGAGGGTAAAAGAGAGAAATCCTTGTGCATGTAACCGAGCACGTAACAGTGGAGAAATTCATCTGATATTAACAAAACATGAAAAATAAAATTGAGAATGGAAATGGGGAATGAGTCAAAGAGACAACAACTCGACCATAGAGCAGACAACAGCCGAAGGGCACCAATGGGTCTTCAATGCAGCGAGAAACTCCCGCACGCGGAGGCGTCCTTCAGCTGGCCCCTAAACAAATATGTATACTAGTTCAGTGATAATGGACGTCATACTAAACTCCAAATTATACACAAGAAACTAAAATTAAAAACGATACAAGACTAACAAAGGCCAGAGGCTCCTGACTTGGGACAGGCGCAAAAATGCCTTTCAAACAAATTAAATCCAGGACACTTTTATAAAGTGAAATCGTCTAACAAAAACTGTTATCTGTTTGGGGTCTTTTTTTGTTTTTGTTTGTTAAACTGACACTGCACAAGGTTAGTCTTCTTGCGAATTTAATTCTTAAATGGGTTCACAAGTTTGCAACACAAAGTTTAGTTTAGACAAAGACTCTTAAAACGTGCGACAAAATAATACTGTGAAAATATCAGGAAATCAACAGAAGTTAATGTCACAATTTAAAATCAAAAGACATCGTTACTTCAACATTCAAAAGCATAGTAAATACAGTGGTTTATTTTGGAATTTTTTAATAGTGACCACCTTAATAACAAGATATCAGAGGAGGTAGAAATTATCAAAGTAAACAAAATTTGCTGCTATCAAATTTTGAAAAACACTTTTAAAGGTGAATGTAAGTCCCTCATGCATTGGACTCATTGACCAGGTTTGGCTATACTGCTGGTCCTATCTATTTTATTTTCTCTATAACGTTTATATTGGGCCTTAAATTTTCAAATATATTGTTCTCGAGCATCGCTGAAAAGACATTAATTGTCGAAATGCTGCAGTAAAACTGGTACCGTTGATGTTTCAGCTAAAATTTCATAAAAATATTGCTTCTAATTGTGTGTGATTAAAAGTTTTTTAGCCTGATGTCAATGAACCTTCCTGAAAAACTTAAATACTCAACTAATGTAAACAAAATTGTACAGTTCGACTATGGGGGAACCTAGTTTTAAAACCAAGGACCCATACAGTTATCTTGCTCTCGAGTTTATCGCCTTGGTTATATGGTTCAAACGTTACTAACGAGAATTTGAAATGGTACTCTATTCTTCTTCTTTTTCAAGGCTTGCTTTACTTTCAACAGGCGTGTACATTGTACAACATTCTTTGAAAAAGCAACACGCCCATTGCTGATAAAATTTACTGCTTTTCAGAAATTAACCTGAATACTTTAGTTGATTAATTATCCTTATTGCAATTAAACATGCAATATTCCTTCCCACTGCATATAATATTGTTATTAATTACACATGGCAAACTTATCAAATTAGTAGTTTGTTTTGACAGCATTTCAGAAAAAAATAACCTCTTTTATATATTTTGGTCCCTTTTTCCATATGTTTGGCGCTTTATCGCCATCGTTCAAAATATCAACCATTAATAAGATATTTATTATTGCATAACCAAGGTAAAAATTATCGTACTTTCATTTCTACTCTACCTACAATGTCATAATGTCTAATTTGAAATTATTTTACAGAAAAGCACGTTTGACATGCCGTAATGGATAATTTGTACATGGACTGCATACCTGTCAAAATCGTTAAGATTATGTTTGATAGGCAAGTGCAGCGAGTATGTTTGTATTCAGTCTATAAATAAGTGCAATCATACAAAAAAAAACACCTAAACGATTTAACATAAAATGTCATTAGTCGGCATATTACAAAGTTTAATAGTTTACTTTTCTCAAAATTGCATTTTCTGTCAAATATTTGACTTTGAGCGTTTTACATTTAGAGATTCCAAATTCACATCAACAATAACATTAAGAAAGGCGTCACAAGCATGTTGTTTACTGTTAATTTACTCTTACAAACTTCTATTTTAGATTTTTCGAAAGCCTTTTTTTTTTACTTTCAGTCTGGTGGGGTTGTTTTTTATTTATTATTATTATTATTTTAATCAGGCAATATTATAATAAATAGACAATAAAACATATGATCCCCCAAAAAAGACGCAAGTACGACAAAATAAATTTATTATTTCGGTAATCTTGTGCTTTATTTGGCAAACTTTGGGAAAAGTATCTAATAATTTGATTCATAACATTTTAACATTAATCTCCTTTAAAAATATCAGTACCTTAAATTGACTCTAGTCCATTTTTTTTTTATCTCAACATCAAAAGTATCTACTTTTGACCTCAAGATATCCTTTTTGGTTTTTGTATTGGTGAGATGCTGTCTCATAAACCGTTTATCTCAAATCTTCTACCTACCATATGTATTTAAAGAAATAGTTCATTTCATCTATTTTCTACTTGCATTTTTATTTTTTTTTTTAAATATGAAAGTGACCTAGTAACTTACCTATACACCAATCTGGGCTTGGACCAATCATCGACAATAAAGAGATCAAATGATTATGTTGGTTGACATTGATCTGTGTATCTAGACTTTTCTTGGTTATGTCCCTTTCACCCCATAATGGCTGGGTTTTTACAACTGTCAGTATCTTTTCACTCTGAAAGTTAAAACAAATATTTTGCTACTACTCAACCGACAGGTTTTAATTTGTGAACTTGTCCTTTTGAAAACTACTTTACTCCCAATATGCTCCCAATAATGTTCGCGCAATTCGCGCATCAAGTTTTAGCAATGAATGAGCTTATCGTATAAAGGATATAATATCAACACGTTAGGGGCAAAAATTTCATCACAGATTTATAAGAACATGTCTCACAGAAAAAGGCACATATAAAGCTGAAGAAGATATATGTTTAGTTCTAATTTCTTAATGGAGACAACTGAAGATTTTTAACTAATTTAAATCTTTTAATAATCGGATGGTTTAAAATCAACAAACATTTTCGTCTGGTAAAAACACAATTTATTTGTAAGTTGTAATTGGATTTGAATTAGCTTTCAGCAACTGCGTGTACTCTTAAATGGGTATTTTGTGGGGGGTTTCTGTTTGTCTTTTTGTTATTTGATTATTGTGTTTCGTGTCGGTCTTAACTTATCTTTTTGGGTTACTGTTTGTGTGATACGTCCTCCTACTCGTACTGTAGTACCTTAGGAAAATCTCTATATTTTGAGTTATTCCGTCTTCCGAAGACTCATAGTTGTTCAGAGCCTTGACTACATAATTGACAGCATTTTGACATAACGCGAAATGTGTGCTTCGTATAGATGAATGAAATGCAGTAAAATATGTTGAACCACATCATTTTTATGACAAATACCAGTACCTTGTCGGTAATAAAGACGGTATAGAAAGTCTCTTTTATTGTATTTATTCCTCATTTTGTCGGTTTAATTGAACTTTAAAAATTTTCCCAAGAACTGCTTCATCTGTGAGGCACGCATGGAATGGGTGTTGACCATCTCGTTGCACATGATTTCAGTCTGCTTGGGTTGATAGAAATTTTATTGTTTATCTTCCATGTGTGTCCGTTATATAGCTGGGCTCATGATATAATTACTGAACATCGATGTAATATACATATATATCAAGTTAGTTTTGTGTCGTTGGTTTGCTGTCTCATCGGCGTTCACCCAACATCTTTTATACATAGAATAGAGACTGAAATGGGGAATGTGTCAAAGAGACAACAACCAGACTAAACAGCAGAAAACAGCCCAAGGCCACCGATGGGTATTCAACACAGCGAGAAAATCCCGCACCCGAAGGCAAGCTTATATTTCTTTATATTTAAGTTTAGATAATCTAGACAACACAAATCAAATATATATGCGTTGAGAAAAACAGAACTGTAACAATGAAAAATAAAACTTGTCATGTTAGCAATTGGCATTGGATATGTGTATCTTCCGGTCAACCAAACGCACCCTTAGTATGATCATTTGGTCAAATCAGGCAAAGAGTTAAAAACTAGTGCGGAAACATTGAATTTTTAAGTAACCTTGGTCGTGTAGATTCTCCGACATACATGCACAACAAACAACTATCAAAATGTCATAACAAAACAAGAATACGACGATGAAATTATATTATCAATAGTTTGCAGAAATTTTTCATATTTTGTTTGAATTTTTTTTTTTTTGGTTGGGGGGGGAGGGGGGTTGACCTGAAGTCATGTGTTAGCTAATTTCTAAATTCATTTTGTATTATGTTACAACAATAAAATAACGACACAATGTAATAAAAGTTGAACCCACATTTAATGTCTGCCTAAGCATGTGTCAAATGGAAGACCTTTCACCTCCAAATGCGTTTATTATAGAAAAATCATTTGTTTCCGATAGTGACCTTCACTCTTTTAGAAAGTCAGACTTGATCTATTTGACAAAAACATGATACTAACTATTTAAAGATGTAAAATAGGGCATAGGACATTTTAGCGAAAATAAAAAAAATGCACATAGGGTCATTTGAGCGCCGACATCATAGGACATTTTAGCGCCGGAATATCAACCTTTCCAGGATTTTTAAATAAGACGTTTGAGCGAAATTCCATGTGATACTTGTATATGAGTTAAGAAAAGAGAGGCGAAAGAAACCAAAGAGACATTCAAACTGATAAGAAGAAAATACACTGACAACGTCATGGCTAAAAAAAGAAAAAGACAAACAGACAAACAATAGTACACAAAACACAACATAGAAAACTAAAGACTGAGCAACACGAACTCCACCAAAATATTTTTTAAAAAGTAAGAAAAGAGAGTAAGTTTTTAAAATAAATATGTTTTATTTGATTTTACACCCGATTAATTCGACCGGTTCTGGGTAGTTAATGGTAGTGTAGTCCTGAGTTGATCTCTACTTACCAATCAAACCTAATAGCCGAACAGACAAGGCGAAGGAAAAGAATCTCCTGGACTTTCATCCGCAGTACTGGCAGCAGGAAATAACGAGTGATTTTTATGTCAGAAGCCTAGGATATAAATTTCAAGCCCGAACTGATTTGAAAATAATGTCATTGCGAGTTTTAAGTTTTATGGACAGTGCTTTGTATTTTTTACAATTAAAAGAAAATTTAAACTTTGTGCGTTATAAACTCGAACAGAAGAGGTACTCCTTCATCATTCTTAAATTTTTTTTCGCTCAAATGTCCTATTCTTATTTTGTATTTTGAACAGATATATCATGTTAAGGAGGGGTATTTGCGAAAAATACCAGTCGAAAGAATGTTAAATTTCGCGAGCCGTAAGGCGAGGGAAATTCATTCTCAAGACTGGTATTTTTCGCAAATACCCCTCAAGAACATGCTATATCTGTTTAATTACACCGAATGTTAACGTTCAAAAACGCATTGATGATCGTGACGTTACAAGCGTCCAGTCGGATAGAGTATTTTTTGGCAAATACCACGACAGAGAGGGTAAAAATGGCATATCCTTTTTGTATATACCCCGGCGGCGTTAAAAAATGAACGATATTCATTTGATAACAGTAAATTGGTAAAAAATACACTGGCTATCAACCAATCAAAACCCCGGATTCTTACATAAGGTGTAATTATCGCTCAAATGTCAAAATACTTTGGCGCTCAAACTTCTATTTCTAATCGCTCAAATGTCCTGCCATTTGGCTCAAATATATAAAAAAAAAGATGTGGTATGATTGCCAATGAGACAACTCTCCACAAGAGACCATATAACACAAAAATTACAACCATAGGTCACCGTACGGCCTTCAACAATGAGTAAAGCCCATACCGCATAGTCAGCTATAAAAGGCCCCGAAATGACAAATGTAAAACGATTCAAACTAGAAAACTAACGGGTATGGGTAGTTTCAAAATTATTTACGATAGACAATTTTAACAGATCTTATTTATCTGTTTCTCTATCAGCGTATATTTCACCATGATAATGCAAAAAATGGGGAATTCTTCAAAACCTCGCACATAATTGTTGGTAATATATTTTATCAAATGATAATTATTATTTCTAAAGGATTTATTGTATGTATTTATCAATTGCAATTTGATAAATATGCAATAAATTACATTTTAACATTTACAGACACATTAACTGGTTGATAAATGTTTGACATGAGGATTTATACGTCATGTTAGTCTAATATTCTACAGGGGCTCATTTATAACATAATTGTATTGGGGTTTTCTAAGGACATGTGTGTCTTTTTTCCGACATACTGGTTTATTTTCTTGGTGCAATATAGTTCAGGGACGGAAAAGTTACACGATCGGCTGCCTAAAAGCTTAATGGACTCGGTTCTCGGGCGCTTCTGTCTTTTTGCCTTATTTTCCCAGCTTTTGACTATAGTTAATTTTAGTAACATCTGTTCTATAAAAGGGTCTTTTGTTCTCTTAAAGTTTATAAAAAACGTAGTAAATGCTTTTGTTGTTTTGCTATACTAGTATCATCAATTTCAATATTGTTGAATTAAGATTTTAAAATGAAAGCATTAAGCACAATGCATTTTTGAATACATCTAACGTAGAATGAACATTATCGGTGAGGGGGGCATAAAGACGGAATGTTACATTACGAAAGCAGTCATTTTCCCAGTTTCGTTATGCCAACAGATAATATAAAATTCAGTGGGTCAATATTTTATGTTGTTATTTATATATTTCACATAAACCTTTTTTGTAACATGTAAGAAACTAACATATTTCTTAATATACATAATCATAAAGAAACGTTTTATCCATCGTGGGATTCATTCGCGATTATTGTAATCAACTTTTTATTTATTTTCATATCATAATTCGTTGGCGAATATTTTCTTTGATGTACCATGTTTTCCATTATGAAATTTGACAAATGTTCAATATTTTTCTTACAAACCACATATTTAATTGAATTTATAGATATCACAAAAGAGTAAATTCATTGAAGGTTAAAGGACATAACATTAGATTTTATGAAGTATGAAAGTACAAGACGGTGTGAAAACGAGATTATTTGTCTTTGTGTACCAGGTATCCGTAGCTAAACAACATACAAAGTTAGGAGTGATTTTTCATCAGTCAGTGATGTATTTATTGATGAGTTAAACACATTGACATTCGGTATATTGATGCATCAAAAGGCTTCTTTTCTTCCTACTGATTACAAAGTTTGTATGTTTGAATGTACATTTGTCATTTCCGGTAAATTAAGTAAAGCTCTGGGAAGTTTCGTACATTGAACAATCTTAGTAACAGAAGTTAATTTAACATATATAATCAAACATAAGGACATTTTGCATTAACAAAGTCGTTCATAGTTCAAAAATAGTTCAGTAAGGAAATTATATATGAAGATATATAACTTTGAACGTAAATGTTACCATAAAACTGGTGACCTATTGTACTTTCTTTTAATGAACATTAATTGTGTATACATTTTGCTTAATTCGTTTAAATCAGTCTGCTGAAAAAAATGCATTTGTAACATTTTAACATAACTTAGTAATTTTCTGTTACACGAAAAGGTGACTTGATATTGAGTCGATTTTACATTTCGAAAATATGATTAAAAAGGAAAACGGATGTTTATAGTTAACTTTCATCTCTCTCTCTCTCATTCAACACATTAAGTGTAAAGGGAGATAAAAAAAAAGTTGCCCTCCTTTCTTCTTTCATTAGTCAATTTAACTTTGATTTTACATGCATACAAAATCAGGAGAATATTTTTACCAAAACCAATTCAGAGAGGTGTAGACTCGCGTGTGCTATTGTAAGCGTGTAAAATGTTGGTTCATTTTTTATGTTATTGACCTATGTATGAACCACTTTCAGAAAAATTGAGGAAATTTAATCTTATTAATATCATTTATTATTAAGATACACGCCCCTTTATGGCCATTTCATACAAGAATATGTAAATCATATTGCCATTTACATATATGGTCAAATATGCTTTTTATCAAATTCATAAACTATATATTCTATTGACCTTTAGTTACTCGTGAATTAACAATTCTTTAAAAAGAGAAGATGAAAACGATTATTAGTATCTGTTCAGATATTTCCATATTTTTTTCCAAATTTAAGCCTTTTCAATGGACAGGTGGGTCAGTGCAAAAAGGTCACATTATACATAAATGTAGAGTTTTTAAAACTTGAATATAAACGACAATGCGATTTGCTATGGTAACTTTTTTTTAAAGTTTTAACATGTCTGTAAAATACTGATTCTCCGTGAGAAAATCACGTGTTTCGTAAGTTATATCATGATGTCAAGTCATGGCCTTCTGCTGTTGTCTGTTCTGTGGTCGGGTTGTTGTCTCTTTGACACATTCCCCATTTCCATTCTCAATTTTATTTCCGAATAATTCGAATGCATGATCGAATAAGCACGTTATTTCTTATAAAGAAGAGTATTTCATTTCACTTTGTCAATTCTGATGTAGTGAGTCAGTCCAAGCTAGAATATTCCGTACAAGTGTTCCAAAATAGCAGTCAACTTAAATGTTGAATCTGTCGGATGCTGTAAAGCTTCTGTGCACCTGACAATCTGCCCCGTTTTACAATTTCCAAATATACACATCAACATTACAAATTTCACCATGTTTGAATGACTTTGAAAGTTACACACATAAAATTCAAGTTATTTCAAACTCAAAGTTTACGAAAACGCCTAACGGAATCACTGATGCACACTTCGTTTGAAAAATCAATGGAAAAAAAACAAATAGCTAGTTGAAAAAGGACGTAAACAAATAAACTACACACAAATTGAGCAACACAAACCCCACATAAAAGTGAGGTGAACTAATGTTCTACGGAGTGTAGGCATATCCTGCTCCATTAGTTGCACAAGTCGTATTGCTTCTGGCAATTAAAGATCCGGTGACCAGTTGTATTCGGTAATGTCATTAACGATAAAAGGAGGATGGGATTGAGGCTACAACAAATGGAACACAACCGTGGTATATGTGAATAGACTTTCAATCAATGTTCGATTAATGTCCTACAATTCGGTCCTGACGGACGAAATTTTATTGAATCCTGTGAAAATTATAGTTAAAAACTTACATTTCTTCTCATTTCTTGTTCCATATGATTAACATATCCATATTCACATACTTCCTTCACAGCTCTGGAGGCTGGTCTCCCATACTCCCATATACTATAGTCTTCGCCGTGAGAAGCACCAACTATACTTGACCAATGCAAAAGTCGTGTTCTCTCTGTAACAAAAAAACGAAAATATTCGAACTGTTTTTGTCGCCTAACAATTATGGATACATGGAGTTATTTAGTATTTGTTGATGAGACAGCAAACCAGGAATATCAATTTAACACTAAGGGACAAGGTTGTAAGTATAGGGGTTTATAATCAAAGAACTCCGTTGTTTTCCCTCTATAAATCATGTTATCTTAATATTTCTTAATTGTGGCAAATCCTACTTTTCGAAAAGTATTTTACAAGTAGAAATGTTAAATGAATGAATGAATAAATAAATATGAAGTTGAGAAAAAAACTAACACAGGTTAAATTGTTTGTCACTGAAAAGCTCCCGGTAAAAAGTTAAGATAAAATTGATGCATTGTTTTCAATAATCAATACTTTATTTAGACCGTCAAATCCATTTCAACTGTAAGAAGAAATTTCTTATCAAGTGGCCACTTCAGTTTAAAGAAAAATGAACAACTTCTATCAGAGGTTTGATAAGTTTTCACTTAAGTGAAATCTTTTTGATATTTTAAAAAGAGTCTCGTGTTATTGTCATTTTAAAAAGTGCAGATTTAAACATACTATCAGATATTATAATAAATAAAATGTTGTTTTTCTAGGTAACAGTGAAATGTAAATCTCCATAATAAAATCTATTTACATCTCTTTAACCTTTCTTGGCTGAAATATTGTTCAATAATTTAATCAAAACTTAACTTTTCTTTTGAAGTTTGCACCCTCGAGTACTACGTTTTCTTCCCTCTCAAAACATTTTTCTTCTAGCTAGTAATTGAGTTAATATTTCAATGTACTTTTCGTGTGACATGGATTTAACAAAGTGACGGTTTAAATTAAATGTAACGTCAGAACTGTGTCATACTTTTTTTTTACACTTTTATGTCGTTTTTATTTTCTTTTTTCTTTTCTTTTCTTTTGTCATCGAGCAGAATAATACAATTCCAAAATGTAAGGTGTGAAAACTTAATAATAGGTGAAATTACGCACACAAAGCAGCCAAGTTAATTCGGTAACTTTTTATCGACGATCTCTGTATCAACAGACAGGTAGCACTTCTGGATAACTCATATTGAAATAAAAACACTTTTGATCAATTGCACAAACGTGAGACTGAAACTTATTGAAATATGTAGTGATTTCACCTTCTCTAATAACTAAAGGTAGACTGACTGATTGGTGTTTAACGCCTTTGTCAACATTATTGTGCTATTTCGTGGCGGTCAGTTTTTATTGGTGGGGGAAGCCGGAGTGCCCGGAGAGAACCACCGACCTTCGGTAGGAAAACTGACAATCCTAGTCAATTAAGATTTGAGTCGAGTGCACCTGTCCCGTGCGGGATTCGAACTCACAACCTCAGTGTTGACAGGCTAGTGATACAGTAGTTCTAATACTTAGACCACCCGGCCACCGAGGCACAAACGTGAGGCGGCAAACTTATTGAAATATGTAGTGATTTCACCTTCTTTCATAACTATAGGACGGTAGGAACCTCTTAATTGCCATTTCGTGTATATGTAGTTCAAAAATACGAAAATTGGCTTGTTGTTAATATTTCAGTCAAGAACTAGATTTGAGTAAGAATGTCGATTTCAACTGTGCATTTGCAAACGATTATTGTCATACAAATAAGGTCAATTTCTGATATTTACACCTACATTAAAATTAAGATGTTTAAAATTTGCAATTACAATATTGTGACTTCCTCTGGAATTTTACAAGGTGTAGTAAAATAACCTGAGACGGTTTTTTCAACCTTAACTGACTCCAAATTTTCATGGCTACCTATAATCACCAGGTATTTGTTATAAATCCCCAGGTGTTTAAATCAAATGACAGACTTTTTTGACGGGTAATTTATAATTTAGGTGACAATATAATTGTTAGAAATATGCACCCCTACTTGTTAGCTATTTTACTGATGGTATTTATTCTTTTGTTGACTTTATTATTGCGAAACTAGCTAAATTAACTCTTCACTTTATAAAAAGACCCTGAGTTCATACCGATCTCGTTTTCCAAACAAACATCATTTAGAATTTCATTTACGTTTTAAATGTTTTGTAAAAAGAACACAGCTGATCTTTGAATAAAACTTTTATGGAATAAAACGAGCACCTGGATATCATCGCATTATCTACCCAGAGATAATTATGACTGTCACTGCATTATACTTATATATCATATTTTGACGTAATTATATCTATATTATATATATACTTTTATTACTGGAATAATACCTACAAAACAGTTTGACTTTAAGGTGAAATTTGAAGTAAGCTGAGAGACTTCGCTGATTTATGGGACATTTTAACGTAAACATAAATATAATTGAAGCTGTTTTTTAAGAAACCAATTTCAAAAGAATTATTATAAAGTTATGAAAGCATAAATGTGCAAACATGGGAATTCACATTCTTTTCTATTTATACTATATATATTTGTAAACGTAAAAATGTTAAAATTGTTTTCGGGCATAAATTTTGGCAACAGTAGTTTACATTGATTGTATCAATGCTGAAGTCTCATAAATCGAGTAGTTTACATTGATTGTATCGATGTTCAAATCACATAAATCGAGTAGTTTACATTGATTGTATCGATGTTCAAATCACATAAATTGAGTAGTTTACATTGATTGTATCGATGCTGAAATCTCATAAATCGAGTAGTTTACATTGATTGTATCGATGTTGAAATCTCATAAATCGAGTAGTTTACATTGATTGTATCGATGTTCAAATCACATAAATCGAGTAGTTTACATTGATTGTATCGATGCTGAAATCTCATAAATCGAGTAGTTTACATTGATTGTATCGATGTTCAAATCTCATAAATCGAGTAGTTTACATTGATTGTATCGATGTTCAAATCAAATAAATGAGTAGTTTACATTGATTGTATCGATGTTCAAATCACATAAATCGAGTAGTTTACATTGATTGTATCGATGTTCAAGTAACATAAATCGAGTAGTTTCAATGATTGTATATATCGATGTTCAAATCTCATGAATAGATTCAGAAGACAATTCAAGGCAACAACCAAAAACTGAAGGAATAGGAAGAACTCCAAACGGAGAGAGCCGGATGCGTCGACAGGGTAAGCATCTCCTGTTTTGAATGCATTAGCTGTACTTCCAAATAAATATTTCAAGTGCTTGACTTCCTATACGTTTGTCCTGGAGAGTACCGGAAGATCCCAGAAGCACGGGTCGTTTCTCTTCAAAAAGGAATTATACTTCCATATTTTTGTAATGTACGAAATGTGTGAGGGAAGATTTCAAAGTTGAAAGACTTTGAAAGAAAACTCAAACGATACTTACAGATATCTAATTATTTTCTGCAATATTTTCTGATTTTGTAAATTAACGTTAATATCTGTTTACCAGATAGCATACTACAAATAAATTCTATAAAGCTGTGATTATAAATGTATTGGTTTATGCACATGTAGATGATATGATTAAACTGTATTATAGGCTTTAAATATGCATTTAAGTACAAAAAAATAAAATTGCTAAAAAAACTTGTTTTACGAGATCAAAGTAATTTATATGCGTAAAATTTGGAAATTTCTCAATTGGGTGAAAACAAATTGCTGTGAAATGGAAAAAATACGACAGTCAGAAATATTATCCACGGAGAATTGTGGTCTATGAATTAGGGGAAAATACACTAAAACTAAGATTGCAACTCCCTCGGGTAAAGTCGACCTTAAAAAGTTTTTACTCTTTAATTTAGACTGTGTTGATGCTGTTTTCTTTCCTTACAAACATTAATATTATTGGCCGTGATGACTTTTGGTTTCAAGCGTGTCTGGAGAAGGTTTTTTCAATAAACACATGTCGAGCACACGGAAATGTGTAAATGTGTATCATACTTTGTTGCCATGTGTGTTTTGTGTCATTTTGAGGCGTGATATTTTTAATCGTATTTAATAATCCCGTTACAAGGTTGTATTCTTATTCCAAGCCCAGACTATAGAGGTACCGCCCAGCAAACATCACAGAAATATACTCCCGGTTCCAACATGCGGCAATGATAATGTCTATGCTTTGCTTAGGAAAACCCTTCAACAATTCGGATCAAAAATTATTAAAAAAAACATTTCAATAGGTCTTGCATAATGACATTGCATGTTTACAATTCAGAGAAAGTTGCAATAAATTGTAATAAAAAATATTACAAAAAATACCGAACTCCAAGGTACATTCAAAAAGGGAGAAGTCCATAAGTCCAAAACACCTGACAAAATCAAATGCTCGGCTAAAACTACCAACGGAACGAATAGAAAACAACTGTCATATTCCTGACTTGGTACAGACATTTTCTGAAGAAAATGGTGGGCTAAACATGTTTTTATTGCAAGCTAAACCTTCTGCTTGTATATTATAAATGCGTAGTTTAGGAGGAGTAATGGATACAAATGGTTACCACCCCAGATAAAGCAATGACACAGTCTATAATTTACTAAGGGAAACATAAAATAATTCCGATAAATAAAACAAAATAGAAGGGTTACATTGGTATAATATGGTTTATATCTGTCATATTGGCTGATTTGAAAAGTAAATATATATCATATACCAGAAAGTATAGTACACATAAAGAATTTATAAAGATGTGGTTACGAAAATTTATTGGTTTATGCACATGTAGATAATATGATTAAATTGAGTTATTTATATGTATAATAGTCTTTAAATGTGCATTAAAGTGCAAAAAAAATAAATTGCAGGTATAAAAATGTGCTTTATGGGACCAAAGTACTTTACATGCAGAAAATTTGGTAATTTCACATTTGAATGAAATTAAAATGATTATGAAATTAAAAAAAAACGATAATCAGATCTATATTTCCCACAGGATTTTCGTCATCCTTTTACATCTACTTAATACGATGTCTTTATGATATAATATACTGACGTTAAATTATGCAATAAATAATGCAAGATTGGTTTTTAAACAATATAAAATTATATATATATATATTTGTATATTCCTATCGAACATTATACCTCATTCCGACAAACCCATGATTGCATTATAGTACGAGTTATTCCCCTTCTAAATTAACACTGGTTTCCGTTAATAAAAGAGTCAATGATAGCAGCCCTTATTTCTCAGGTTATTCCATGATAAAGTTTGTTTGCATGCCAAAAGTAAACACATGATCTATATTTCGAGGAGATGAATTTTTTTCTTAACTTTTTACGAACCTGTAATCCATGTCTTAATATGAAAATGTGGTATGATAGCCAATGAGACAACTATCCATCAGAGAACAAAAGACGGGAATAGAAACAACAATAAACAACACAACAACAATAAACAACACTGTACAGCCTTCGACAATGAGCTAACCTCATACCGTAAAGTAAGCTATTAAAGGTCCCGGAAGCACAAAAGATAGGCAAAATATACCAAAGGGATATTCAAACTCATACTAGTAAGTCGAAAACAAACTGACAATGCCATGGCAAAAACTGAGAAAAACTATCAAAAAACAAACAGTATACAAAACTCAACATAGAAAACTAAAGACTGAGCAATACGAACCCCACCAACAACCTGGATTGAAATCAGGTGCACACGTGACCAACTTATTTTTCATCATTACTATATATACTTATATATACATTTTTTTTATTTTTTATTGTAGATATTACAATGCTGATTCAGGAAGTTGGTATTATTTCTTGGGTTTTTTTTTTTTTTTTGGTATATAAAATGAGAATTAGAGTGGTTAGATCGTAGTTATTCTTTAGAGTCGAACACGCTGATCAAATGATGAAATTTTCTATAAAATCTATAAAACTTATCTTTTTTCAAAATATCTTAACTATATGAGTATTTTTGGGAATAATCACAAGATACATAAAACCGTACTCGTTCGCCGTCTTGCACTAAACAACATTTTTTTAAAAGCAACATTAAAACTACGTGTAGATAAATATAATTATTCAGCTGAAGTATTTTCCAATGATAATGCGTGTTAAAACCGAACGTTAAGTTAAACTTTATTCATAAATATCATTCACTTTTCAATAAATAGTAAAAAAATGAAAGGATAATTTCCAACTTTGTATCTTTCCAACAGTACTTTGACGTACATTTCTGATCTTCAATAAAAGGTTGTAGCTTGATGTAATTTATATCGAGATATATCAAAGATAAGATCATGAATTAATCAACAATTTTGGAGTACATGATACATCATGGGGTCTTTTTTAAAAGAAAATACCGTTATTTACGAGCAGGTGGATCGTTTGATATTAAACAATCAAATACATATTCTCTCTTTATGAAGAAGATTTTCTTTAATGAAGCTTGTAAAAATTGAGTTTAATGTCTTAAACTTTTTATGACGATCGTAATTTAATGAGAGCATAAGCATCTCTAGTTTAGCCTCTTCCTTGTGACTTTTCTAGTGCAAAACTATAAATTTTAATCAGGTCGTTGAATATTTAGACATGTCAACGACTTCTGTGCATCGTTGTAGGTTAAAATACATGTTCTAAAGGTGTATTCATGACAATGAATTCTAATTTCTGCAATAAATACTCTCAATGAATTGTTTTACCTGTAATTGTAGACAAGAGAACGTTTAAGATTACATAATTTTGACTTATACAGTTTCATGTCAATTGCATTTTACGGAAATGGAATTCTTATTTGTTTTGTGGTTTCTCTGAAGATCAATTCATTCTTGTGTTGTGTTTTTTGTTTATTTTTATCATTGCTATAACTTAAGGAACGTCTCTAAAATTGAAGTGAAAATTATACGCGAGAGAAGTTGATACCCGATCTTTGGTATAAATAAAACATATCACATTTCTTAATAGTCCTATTTCTTTTTTTCTAAACCCTATAACAGTACATCACATGCAATTCGTCCATTAACTCATATACATTTTTACAATTCTGACAGGTCCAAAGTATCGTATTTTAAAATTTCTGCATACAAGACTACATGCAATAGATATAATACCCCACCGATTTGTAAATACATTTAACAATGTCCGCCTTATAAAATCTACGTTTATAAAGTATACGCTGGAAAAAACTAAAAGTAAAGGGAGGGCACTCTTACAAACATCGTTATATATATATATATATATATATATATATATATATATATATATATATACACTTCAAATGAAGCAATATGTAGCATAGAAAATGATAAGGTCACACCAAATTCAATTTAGATGGGGGTTTTTTTAAGCAAATGTACCGTTGTAATACTTTTTTCCATTGAAAGCAACATTGTCTGAAAATTTGCTAAAAAAAAACGTTTCATGAATACACGTGCAGTATGATTGAACAAATATTAGTACAAGAGAGGCAAAAGATACCAAAGGGACATTCAAACTGCATAAGTCGAAAATAAACTGACAACGCATGGCGAAAAAAAGGGAAAAAAGGAAAAAAAGATAATTTGTACTTCATAGTACAGATTTCTTATTAAAATTTGAAAATATTCATATCTTTTCGAGGAATATTCTTCCAATATTTATATCGAATTTCGTAAAACAATTGAATTTGCAATCGTGTACATTAGAATTTGATCAGTGTTATCTTTTGCATCTGTCGTACCAATAGCCTGGTAAGGATATGACATATATCATCATGTCAAATGATTGTATACATACCCTCTTTTAGAGGAAAATGTTTTGGGTGGGTCTGTCTGGACCAAATTCCTTTAAAATGCATATGGTATCGGGCATTCCCACAGGCACAACATGTGCTTCTTGGTTGAGAACGATGTTCACCAGTACCATCACCCAATGGAGCCATTGCTGGAACTGAATAAAAGAAAAAAGACGTCTGCTAATTTTTGCGGTAGCAAAAAAAAACGTTTGATATACAGCTAAGGTCAATTCGCTAGCTGGAGGAGAGCTGGCCAGATATCAAGTTCTGAATTAACCGACACCATTTTTCCATATTGTGCAATATACAAAATCCACTGTTACAAGAGAGGACGGGTGATCAAGAATACACTGATTTATGTACTCGTATCTTCAAGCAGACAATTAATTTCCAATTATATTTATACACGCATTGTGGAAAACTGACAGTCGTGGGATAATGCAAAAAAATTACAATTTTAATAGTTAAATGCAAATTTTACTACAAAAAATACACGATTCCCGTTACGAAAGTCTAATGTTCATTCCATTAAATAAACATAAGAAAAGGAAATGAAATCTTTATTAATTAGACGACTTTTTCAAAACGACATTTACAATACTTAAACAATCTACAATGTATCCAATAACGAACAAGTATTGATAATATTGAAAGGGGTTTACGGGTATTCTTTAAGGTGTCACGTGACTGTCAAGAGTTAACTAAAAGAAATATCCTTTTGCAGAACAAAATATTACAGTCTTAAATTGGCAAGTTTGTCTTAAATTTGAGACACATAAATATATGTTTTAATCCCGACCTTTTCAATAACTGTATATCTTCTTTAATATTTGGGTGGCATTTATACAATAATGTGTTATATTTGATATTATGATTAATGAGAACCTCTTTTTTCAATGAAAATATTTCAGGATGAAAACAACTCTTTGTAAGATCCTTAGATAAATAAAGAGATTAATAAAGTATTTGTTTTTAATCTAAGATATCATGTCTTTGCTAAGATTATACTTTTTATCAGGTGAGAATCGATTAGTTTCACCTTACGAAGCGACAAGGAGTTCGGAAACTTGATTATATCTCAAGTAGTCATCATATGAAAACAGAGAAACCTGCCGTTCTAAAGTTCTCTGGCTTATTCGCTTTACGGGTGAATGTTTTAGCTTTTCCAATCTTTTCACCTTGACCTTGTTTCAGTAACACGTGTCAAAAAATTCATACGTCGATCATTAACGTTGATGACATGTCATTTTTTTTTACCTACAAAACTATTTGATCTTTAGTTTGTTTCCTAACAGTTTGAGGAAGTTGAACCGACTTTTTGTATTCGATGGTTTCATAATTTTGTAAATAAAAAAAACGAAGATATGACAGTCAGATCTTAACAGTTTGGTCTATTTGTAATATCCTGTTGATATGATATTGATATGAAATTATGTTTTTCGTGATTTGTCAGTAAGTACATGTACTTCCGTGAGAGATATGCTATATTCTATCGAAAAATAACTATGTTCTTCGATAAAATGTTACATTTTCCTCGCGGAAGTCATTACTGAAATTGATGTTCACAAGCTAGCAGGAAAAGGTCTATTGCATCTTTAACTTTCCAAATAGTTTTGAAAAAGGTGTACCCTAAAAAGCGTGTTTTTTAAAGGTTGGTGATTTTATTTGTATCAATTAATCTCCTTGGGAAACATGTTTACTATGAATTTTCATTGTGGAAACGGAAGATATTGAGAGGTCAAAAACCCAAACATGACAGTGTATTATACAAGAAAAGTTTAAATTATGACAGTTTGTCCATATCCAGCGGAGAAAAAGCTGGCAACTTCGCACATGTCACAAATGGCTTCAATTGTCAGTTATACCTTCGCAGATTGAGAAGGACGCTGCCCTGTCAGATATTTGATATATATAATTAATTGCTGAAACAGGTGTGAAAAAGGAAGACCTTCACAAACGGATTTGTTAAATTAGCTCATTTCAACAAGTGTTTGATGGCAAGGAGAACGAAACAACAATTAGTGAAATTTGATTTCAGTAATTCATTAGCACCTGTAGGCACTTACCATCTTCGCATATAACTTTTGTTAAATTTCCATCATCCTTAAACCAAATCTCTGGAGCTTCGACAACTGTCGCCCTGGAAATAGATAAATTAATCATAAACACAGACTCATTAATAATAAATATATGTACATCCAAAAAGAGCTTTTTACTTGATGAAAAAATCAAGCGAGATGTCAAAGTGTTGTTTGCTTGATATGCATTAGTAAAAATATTTCAAACATATTCCAATTTTTAGGTGTATGAATTATGTAATTGCACTGAAACCAAAGTTACAACTCCCTCAATCAGAGTTGACTTTAAATGGTTTACATAGGTCTTTTTAGCACCTTTAGATGTTCAAAAAGTTTTATATATAGTTTGTTTATCAAACCTTTACATGTGGAGCAGGATCTGCTTACCCTTCCGGAGAACCTGAGATCACCCCTGTTTTTAGTGGGGTTCGTGTTGCACAGTCTTTTGTTTTCTATGTTGTGTTTTGTGTACTATTGTTTGTCTGTTGGTCTTTTTCTTTTTTAGCCATGGCGCTGTCAGTTTATTTTCGACTTATGAGTTTAAATGTCCCTCTGGTATCTTTCGCCTCTCTTTTAAGTCTTGTGCGTTATTCCAGATCGTATTCAACTCGCAATCTTCCAGCAAATGTTGAAAAATTTGGTTTGAAAATTAATTATGGGTTACTTAACGTGCATAGTCAAATATTGCTAACACTTTGACGAGGGCAAATCAAAACAAAGCCATACATTTATAAGGTATGAAATTGATGTGAAACTGACATTTTAAAGGTGAAATCAGATTACAACTTGAAACAGAGAGTATTATCTATAGTGTTAGCGAATTCTCCGTATAGCAGAAAATATAATATGGAAAACATGGAGACAGTTTAATGATATTGTTTTTTTTACGTATAACATCGAGCTTTTTTTCTGAAAAATAATGTGAATTTAACGTAGACTCACGAAAGAAATAAAATAATGAAAAATAAGCAATGTTGCTTGTTTCTGGATCCTATATAAAGTATTATATGTTTATAAAGTATATGTTATAGCAGTATTAATTCATTGTACAAATGAAATTGTTAAAACCGACAGAAAACACGAAAACCCTTACGAATCGTAGTCACGTGAACAGAACGTGGCACTCTCTGTATATCCAATCACAGAAACTAACGTCCTTACAGATACTTACAGATATAAAGGTATTAGAGAGATATCATTGCGTTTACTTTTGCACTTAAGTAATATACAAATGACATAAATGCATATTTCATTGCGATGAAAGACAAATTTCATAATGGAATTTTAATGATGACAGATTTTCTCCTTATCTAATTAATGAAGTACCGAATATATACAGAAGCAACCACGACACTGAGTAATTGCCTATAGTTGGCTAACAAACTTCATCTGTTAATTAAAACAGTCGTTGACTTATCTAGTGAAAAACTGCAATGATTGCACACAGCAAACAAACTATCAGTTTTATTACATGGAATTAATGCTTTGATATTAATTTTACAACCATTTAACTTCAAAAGACATGCGGTTTTACGTCAAAACAGCTATTTTTGTGGTATTGAAGCCAATTTTGCACGGAGAATTAAGAGCTATGTTTTAAATCATTTTGAAATTGCTTCCAGAAAAAAATGCCAAAACGATTATGCAAAGCAATAACAATATCATAAATTAATTATTAAAAGTGACTGGTTAATACAACAAATAGGTTTCTCTGACTCTTGGTAATAAAAAAATCTATATTTTCTGATGCCAGAATGAAATTATCTTCTCAGTTTTAAAAGATTAACGAAAGGGGTTATAAACTTATCATTTGATTGACTTTATAACTTGAGAAAGAGGTCTTAAGGCCACATCAGAATTTTCTTTGTTTTTTTACGTATAACATCGACCTGTTTTTCTGAAAAATAATGTGAATTTAGCGTAGCCTCACGAAAGAAATAAATGAATGAAAATAAACAATTGATTCCAGACTATACAACCATATGTATAGCTTTTTGTGAATTGTATATTTAGAATTTAAGATAAATGCAAGTGTTGTATCTGTAATCTAAATCAGATTGTATTCAGTCATCGTGTACTTTAGAGCTGTACTGTTATAAAAACGCATAGATGTTGAAAAAAATCTTCAAATAGTTACAGACACAATGTAAAAATGTGCGTTTTTTTTCGGGGGGGGGAGGGGGGGGGGGGGGGGTGTTGATACAAGGGAAGGGTAAGTGTGTGTCCATTTGATAGTCTTGACAATGATTTTGTGTGCATAGTTGAGAGTCTTGATATACGTGAACGTATGATTCTTTTCTGCGTTTTCCCTTTTTACTGTATGATTTTACACATAACTGTTTTTGAAAGTGGATAATCTCAAAATTATTGATCATGCTTCGCTGCACGTAAGCCATGTGTGAAGTGACGACGCCGCTTTTCCAGATTGTCGGAAAGTACAGTGTAGATTAAAAAAAAAAACGAAATATTTCAGTTTTCAAAGGCATGTCTGAGTATAAGTGATATGTATTTATTAATAATAAATTCATGTCATTCTAATTACATTTAATGCTGTATAAATGGTTATCGATCGTCATTAAGACGCCATATATTATATTGATAAATCGATAATTTCTTTTTTTCAAACTTTTAAATATATAAATTTGTTTGATGAAAGTATAATTCCAAATTCCCTCACTAATGTAAAAGCTTACGCTTGACATATGCACAGTTTAAATTTTATGTCATAGCTTTCTGATACTTTTTTTTATATGTTTGGTATTGCAGTAACTTAATTAACCAAACATAAGTATTATATAGCTTTGTACTTTGATGGTTTTAAAAATAACATAAATGTCAGCATTAATGTCAAATTTTACAAAGAAAAGACCACCATAGCGACCAAAAAATAAAATGTCAAAAGTAAAATACAAATTCTGCTCAATCCGGTGTCAGGGGCCGTCTCGAAATTGCAACTAGACGTAGGTCTTGCTGTGAGTCTTGAAAAGTTAAAAAAAAAAAAAGAGCAGCATCAAAAGGAGAAGGCCCGGTAAGACCCCTTTTCAGCCCCAAAATATAGCATTTTAAAATATGTTAAAAATGTAAACTTTTAGCTATTTATTGGAAAGTAGAATACTTTTGTTACATAAATATGGGCTGTTTTTGACAATACAATTCACTATCAGGAACTAGCATCATTAAAGGTAAATCCAGAAAAGCGCTTCGGACGCATGAAATTCATAACGTGTTGTTTTCATTTTTTAATTCATGCAAAATTACTGTAATCTTCACAATTTTAGTATTTGTGCTAATTTTTAAACGGTTTTTCTCTGAAATGGAAGTGGCCGCACTTGTGTTCAGTCTTAATATTCAAATATATGTTGTAGTTGATGATAATACATAACATATATAAAGGTTGAGACTAAACACAAATGCGGCCACTCCATTTTAGACAAACAATCATCTAAAAAGTGATGTTTTGTAGCATATTTAAGAGATTCTTCATATTTAAGCTTGATTTTGAGCGTCTTTAATGACCAAACGAGTTCCAATCTTGTACAAAAACTAATTAAACTGACTAAAGTAGACACTTAAGTGTTTAAAAAATGTCAAAAATCTTCCATCAGATGTACTTCAAAGTTTAGGCCAAAGTTAGCCCTTACCGGACCTTCTCCTTTGGGGGGTTATGTCAAGTGTCTGTAAATATTTTGCGTCATGAACTATCCTGACACACCATTTATATAACTGCTTTTCCATCAAATACTTAAGGAAAACCACCTGGACATCTGACTGGTTTTTCGCTGTTCTCTTATTCAAGAGGCAGCGAGTTAAGACTCCCGCCGGGTCCGATAAGGAGACTTGCTTTCCATGCAATGGACAGTTTTTTAATGGTGCGAGTCTAGTGCGCAGAAAGGAAAGTCGGTAAGACATCAACATAATAAATGTTTACATGACAAGTAAAAGGTTACTAACCTTACAACCTAGATAAATATCGATAAACTCAGACTCCTTTCTTTTCTATTCTATCATAGAGAGATCTATTATTTCAGATGACAACTTTATGATAATCCGCTATATATTGCGGACACCTATAATTTGATATGTTTTTTATTTCATACAAATTGCTAATTAATCTCCTTTGGAGCAGAGGTTATATCTTAAGGGAACGATTTCCATTGCATATGTATCTATTTAGTTCTAAAACTCCAATAAGTCTTCCGGTTAACATTATAGAAGGACTCAAAGTTTAATTATGTTTATTCGTGTCAAGAATTTTTTTCTCGCTATATGAAACGAGTGAGCACAGCATAGTCAACTAAAACTGATTTGTTACTTCCAAACACAAAAGATTACACAATGTCTTAGTTGGTGGCCAAAGGGAACCCTAGTGATACGCAAACGTTAAGTTAAAGATCAGAGTCAACCGCATACATTTCTTTCACTTGAACGAGGTGAAAAATGGGAAATGTCCCTCTAATAATGTATTGCAAAATTTTACAGGTTAAACTATAATATATAAACTTGTCAAGGTAACCGACAAGGTGTATTTATCTACCTGTTAAAACAGGTGTTGGTGAAATATTTGGCTCCATGTCCTGTCGCTTTTAACACGCTGTACTTATCGAGTGTTGCTACTTTTAAGTTTTGTCTAAGTGCAGTTCATGGCCTAACAATAAGTAAACGCATATGTAATCTTTCTTCAGATTTACTGGCGACTAGATTTTAAATGGCAAACTTTGAAACATTTAATATTTGCGGGTTTCTCCTTTATCAGAGTTTTAAAAAAAAGTATTGCGTACCTTAGAACGACTGCTGTCATATTCTTTAAGTTATCAAAACCGTTTTAATCGAAGAAGAGTTCATGAAAATTCCAGCGATGTCGCAATGTAGACTAATAAATCATATACATTTTATTAAATTATCAGAAAATTGCATGTCTGTATAACAATTATGTTCTCGTTTAATATTTTTCGTAAGTCTTGGCACGTTGAAATTAAATAAATGAACTTCGAGTTCTTTCGGGTGCAAATCTGGGTTTCACGTTACATTACTGGTGACATTTCTATAGCTGGAATCAGATTGA